TTCATGGAAGGTAAAAAAAATTTATGATAAAATTTAATGAAATGACTTATAAATAGGACCAAATTTTTTTTTTCTCTCTACCCTATAAATAGGATCAGATGGGGTATTGCGTAACTTTTATAGTTATTTTTTAACTATATTCTTACTTCATTTATTACTCTTTTTTTTTAAAATGATGCATTTGAATTTTAATTATCGTTATCAAAGACTTATATAGGATATTTAATGAAGGTAAAATTGAAGTGATGTAATTTTTTTTTAAGAAATTAAAGTCTCAACTAATATTTTGTTAGAACTATAAATTAGTTACCAATGCTTTATATTAATATTTAAGCTAAAGTGTATTTTTAATTCTCTAATTTTATATAAAGTTTTAATTTAGTGTCTTAATTTTATAAAGTATCTTACTGGTCCTCTAACCTCAACAATGTTAATTTTAAATGATTATTTTTTGTCAATTTTTTAAAATGAGACTAACAGTGTTAATGTTAAAGGATTAAAAGGATATTTTATAAAATAAAAAATTTAAAATAAAATTTATATAAAATTAAAGAACTAAATATATACTTTAATTTAATATTTATGTAATATTAATTTGTATAAAAATCAAGAACACCGATCCGGTGATATATCGCTAGTTGGTAATTATCAAAACTCAAACCGTTAGTTAAAAGGACGAGAGCTCATGTTATTTGCATTCACTTGAGTTGGTAACACATTAATTTTTTTTTCATTCTTATTAATATTTTTGTGAAGGTTTGGGTAAGTTTTATATTAAACCAACTAAATCAGACTTATCATAAAATAAAAATATTGCATATGTATACACACACTCGCCATTCAAATTTTATAATATAATTTTTTTATTCAAAAAATTTAAATGAGTTGAGACTTATCAAAACTAAGACAGGCCTCTAACCTAAAGAACGCATGTTGAGAGTTATATTACTAATTCAAGTTTTGATCTTCAAAATGCACAAACAAGTCTTGTTATAGCTAGAGTTTATTCTATTTTGGACTTGAAGTGTATGCACAATACAAGCCCAACTTAACTTGGAAAGGGAGAGTAACTACCCAAAAAATGAGGATACAATAAATAGGCAAGAACAATACGAAAACATCACATTTTAACTCAAAATTTCATCATTAAATTTACAAATTTTTTATTTATTATATATTAATTATTAAATTTAACTTAATTCAATATAAGACTTTTCATATTATCTTAAAATTTACTCACACTTAAATAATTTAATAATATAATTTGCTATTTTCACAGAGGATAAAAAAAAAAGTTATAACTTCAGGGACAAGTGAACCATAACCAAGAAGTTCATTCCTACTTGCAAGCAATTACAGCATATATATATATATATATATATATATATAAGACAGAGAATGGTTCTTTTGGTCTCATACATAATAATTGTGAATAGTGCACGTAAAGGACAGTCTGCGTGATGCCTTATCAATGCGCCAACAATTTCCGTTCCTGTCAGTCTCATCATTCCTATACTTCCATGTTGGAGCGCGTGGTTCATGGTATCCAAATATTTCTTTGTTTTTAAGTCATTTCAACATTTGTTTTTATAGAAATTAAAAAAAATTAAATCTAATTAACTATATTAAAATATTTAATAATTTTTTAATTTTACTTCTAATAAATATATAATTTAAAAATAAAATATTTTAATATTTAATATTCTTCACAGCATTTAATAAAAATAAAATAATAAAAATAAATGTAAAAATGTGTAAAATAAATAATCCGTTTATTAAAAAATATAAAATATTTTTAATTAAATCTCAACTTTTAAGTAGTTATTTATTTTTAAATTAACCTCATTTTTTTTTATTCATTCCTATTAAATACTCTGCAATAAATATAAAGTTATTATCAATAAAGACGCTTTTAAAAAAAAGACAATAATTATAGATTAAAATTATCTTATATTTTTTAATATTTAATTTTTTAAAAAATATTTTATATTTTTAATGAAAGGAGTACTTTTTCTCGTCCTACCAGAAGAGTATTCTAACAGAATCTCAATTATATTTGACTCACTTCCTAATTCCTACTACTGTCTGACGAATTAATTCAACGCTATTTTTTTATCACTATGATATCTAATTTTTTTTTATAAATATTTTTCTATGTCTCTAGAGCCTCTCAGTTTTTTGTTCATTTGTTGCTTCGGTTTTGTTGTTTTACAACTATGTGAAATCATTTGTTTGCAATATAACTGTGCTATCATACTTGTCGTCCACGTATGACCTTTAAATATACATTTTCCTAATCAAAATTTACGCTTTATTTTGGTTTAGAGATAATAAGAAGATAATAATTGTGGTGATGAATATATCTCCCCCAGCATCTTCCTTGATGAGACATATTCTGCCCAGTGTTGTGAGAATCCAGCAACTTCGTCGTCATGATTGGAAAGAAAACTTTTAATTTAACCAAATAAACAAAATAAAAATTACTTAAATAAACTCAATACATCCCATTATTCATAGTCCATGCAAAAAAAACATTTGAATAATATTAAATATAAATTAATTTTAATATTAATGCTAATGGAGAGAAAAAAGACAAGAAATTAAATAAATATTTTATTATAAAAATAAATTCATTAAAAATGATAATATATAAGATTTTATTTGATTGAATGATGCAATTTTATTGAATGGATCTTGAATGATGTGATACATTAAGTTTATCTAAAAATTTCTCATAATTCACAAATTGAAATTATTTGAATATTCTAAATAAGTTATCAACAATTCTAAATAAGTCATGACTCATGGGACCCTCAATGAGCTAATCCATCCACGTATTTAATAGCATCCATGGTTGCAAGTAAAGATATACTTTGACAACATGAGCACATTCACTGCTGTTCGAGAGTGACGAACACCCTTGAAATAATTTAGAACATTCAAATTTAAATTTGAATAATTTTATTTTTATTTTTAAATAAAAATTATAAAATATTTAGTAAATCTATTAATTATCAATCTAATCATATTTAATCAAGTCAGTTTTAATTTAATATTAATTTTTTTGTAATTTTTATAAATCGACTATATATATTTATTTTTGACAATTCAAAATCAAAACTTTTAACTTGTAATTTAAAAAAAAAATCGGAAGATTTAGTTAGAATATTTTTATTTTTAATATTATATTCACTAAAATAAATAAAAATTATAAAGAAATTTAATGTTAAACCTGTTCAAAATAAATTAGAATAATTAATTTATAAAAATTATAAAAAAATTTAGTATTAAACAATCGAGATTAATAATGGAGAACATATTTGAACATAACAAATTTTTAATTTTAATAAATATAAAATTAAAAATTAAAAATTAAAAATTTTTAAATTTAGACTATTCAAATTTTATCATAGGTGATCGGCATAATGACCATTGAGCACAGAATATGTTCTCTTCTACATCCAACAGGAGTTATATTTAGTGAAAAGAATTAATCCTTCTTAACGTAGTACATTAATGTTTAATTTTTTTAAAAAGAAATATTTATATTTAATATTTAATAATATTTTAAATTAAATTATATTTAATAGAAGAAGTTGCGTGTATAAAATGCACACACTTCTACACAAGGAGGTCTCCGGTGTTTTCCATCTAAGGCGAACTCGCCATTGGCGTCAATGGCATGCAAAAGAACGGCGTCAAGAAGATGGAAACTTCGTGGCACTTTCGCAGGTCGCTATCACGTTGTCAGTGGGCAGTGGCTGAACTATTCCTCTGTAAAGCTGACCAAAGCCTTTCGCTTTTGTTTGTTATAACTTTTTTTTCCACCTAAAAAAGCCTCATATACCTAACATTTTATATTTCAAATATTATTTTCAATTAAATTAAGATATATATATTTTTTATTTTTATTCATTTCACAAGTTTTTTTTATTAACATATTAAAAGCAAATTATTTTAATTTGGTTTAATAAAAGTATATTAAACATATAAGGTTAAATATATAAATTTATTGTTTTCTTTAAATCATGTTACTCTCTTCCTTGATGAGGTCAGCATGCCAATCATTTTAAATCAGATGGCATTGCATTAAGTTATTAATTATTTATGTTAAGTAATTATAACTAATTAAGTTATGGAAGTTTCTTAACTTTGTCAATCATTAATTGATCAAAACAAAAGCAAAACCAGTAGAGGCATGTGTATCATCGGTTATTCTCTGTTAGCCCAGAAGCATTTTCTTAATTGGATTTTGAATCCCAAGGTCCATGTGTAAAATGGCCCAAAAAAATTTAAAAGCCTTTTCACATAAAATTTTGGCCCAAATTTTATAACTGATTCCCCCCCGGGATAAAACGTAACTGAAAATTCACCACAATATTGTCAAAAAAAAAAAAAGATAGAAAGAAAGAAAGAAAGAAAGAAAGAAAGTTTATCAGAATATTATTTGGGAAAATCATCATGAAACCTCCCACAACCATTCAAAATACTCAAAGGGCTCATAAAATTTTTAAATAATTGTCAAGTCATTAGAGACTTAGGAGTGAATTAGATTAAAACAACAATGATCATAACACTCATATCATAAGATAACTTGTATACAATTTGGCAATGGTCATTTACCACATGACAAAAGTTATTGACAAGTAAGACATCTATAAATAACAAGGGTGAATTTAGTAGGTGCAATAATTTACTTGTCAAATTTCAACAATCTAGTCCTTTATGATTCATTTTTTTAATTCAAGTCTATTTTTTTTCCTTATTTAAATAAGTTTACTTTGTTTCATTGATTTATATAGTTATTATCAATATTTTGTCATCCATATTTTGTCATCCATATTAGCAAATTTTAACGATAGTGTTATGTTTTTTTTTTTTTAAAAAAAATAGGGATCAAATTAATAATTGAGACAAACTTAATAGATCAAATTAATAAAAATTAAATTTTGAAAACGAAATTAATACTTGAAGCAAACTTTGAGGGATTAAAAGTTTTATCATTCTCAAGGGAAAAAAAAATGAAAGCAACATGACACAAAAGAGTTAATATATTGTGATCACCACTTCATACAGATAGCCAATACTTATTAGAGCTTGGTAACCATGAGAGGTGCTCCATATTTAGGAAACAAGACCAGCTTGTAGAAAGGACAGTGGCGATAATTAGGTGAGACTGAGAAGGAGAATTTTGAGAGAAGAAGAATGAGAGCAATCTTGGCTTCTATAAGGGCAAAGTTCTGGCCTGCACAGATTCGACTTCCAAGTCCAAATGGTAAGTAAGCTTGTGGATACTTACAAGCCTCTGAGACGCCTCTCTCAAACCTCTCTGGCTTGAACTCATTAGCATCTTCTCCCCATATCTCTGTGTCTCTGTGCATCGCAGTTATGAACACCAAAATGTTGGTTCCTTTTGGCACCACCATGTCCCCCACCTTCAACTCTTCCAGTGCCTCCCTTGAAGTTGTTATTCCTGGCCCATAAAGACGCAGACTCTCCTGAATCACCATTGACAGCTATCCCAAAACAACATCATTTTACTCAATCAGTCATGTATTCACACAAAAGACAAGCAAAATTAAAAAGGATAAAACAATTGGAAATTACATAGAAGTAAAAGGAAATTGTAATGGAAAAGGCCCCCACAACATAATTAAATATCACGAAATTCATTGACAACTTACTGGAACAAAATGACAAGTATTTCATTTTGCTCTGCTCAATTGTCAATGTGCCTGAATTATAGTATGCAATTGTGTTGTGTAGAATTTGTGTATAATTCTACCTAAAAAATTCCCCCAATATAATGAACAAAAAATCCACCAGCGATGAGTAAAAAAATTCCATAAGAAAATAGGGTTCGCAATAGTCATCTCATCCCTATGAAGATGAAGAGAGCTTCTAAAAGGCTAAACATATTAATTGGGCTAATAAATAATATCTCGTAGCTGTGATTGATATAAATGTTTTGGCTAGGCCTAAGGTCCTAACCTGTTTCATCTTTCGAAATTTGTCCACATCATGGAAGTCGTGAGACGACATGTTGGGGAAGGTTTCAAAAATTTCAGCTCGAAGACAATCTTGCCAATGAGGGTGCAAGGAGAGCTGAACAAGTATCCAAGTGAGTAAAAGAGCAGTGGTGTCAGAGCCTGCAAAGTAGATGTTCTTGCATATATCCACAATCAGTTTCTGGGTCTCATGCTTATGCTTGAGCTTCTTCCACATTCCCCATGCACCACTGCTATCATTTTCATCAGCCCCATTAGCTGTATTCTCAAGAATTACTTGAAGTAGGTCCTTCTGATTATTCTGATCAATACGGCTTTGGTTTTGTAACTTATGATGATCAACAACTTTCAAAATCAATTGTTCTATCTCCTTCTCCAACCTCCATACCTCTTTGTTCTCCTTGGTGGGAAAAATTCTACAGGCACAAAATGAAGGAATGTCACACACACACACACACACACACACACACACACACATTGAGTTGATAAAATAGAAAGAAAGATGGAGGAAAAGTAAAGAGTGAAACCTGAGGTATAAAAATCCGAAAAGAACACTGAGTTTGCCAAGAGCGTTTTGCAATGTAGTCAGTTTAGCAAAAATCTGATTGCCCAAAGCATAAGACCCACCAAAACAAGCCTTGGAAATGATATCAGCAGTGAGTTCCTTCATATCATTGTCAATCACAATCTCTGCCATTTTCCCCCCACTTTTTTCTATAATCCGTTCCCATTTCCTCATGATTTCCTTGGTAGAATCCTCCATAAAATCCACCATGTTCTGCAAATTCCATAAAAGCAACAATTGTAAACACATAGCAATACTTCATATATATACTCCCTCCGATCTTTATTGAAGAATACTTTCAACCGTTACAAACAATCTTAAGAAAGTTTAGTTTTTTTTTTTTTTAATATCATTTAAAAATGAGTTATGATTCCATTTTTACCATTGATGTTAAATAATGATGCAACTCATGCCCATGCTTTAAATATCTTCTCATAGATAAGATATAATTCATCCCATGCTAATCAATAAGAGGGTTAAATTGGAAAAAGGTGTCCTGCATTTTGATCCAGAAATTTTTCCAGAAGTTGTCCTACAATTAAGATTGGAGGGAGTGTGTGTGTATAACAACCGACAGCAGAGAAGGGGAAGAAGAAATTAATTAACCTGAATCTTGGAGAGGTAAAACTGAGGAGCAACAAGGTTCCTTTGGAAAGACCAGTGTGGTCCATTAACTCTGAAAATGCCGGAACCCAACAACGGCTTTAAAGGCTTGGAAATATAGGTAGGCCTACCAAGATCCCAAGTCTTGATCCGGTTCAGTTCTTTCAGCAATTTTGGATCTCCCACATATAAATGCTGCCTATGTCCAGTGGAGTACATGAATGTCGCACCTGATCATCATCATTATATATAATTCATTACGATTAAAAAAATAAATCATTTCACCCAAATCTCCAATCTCCTCATCTATCCATGATCCATTTCTGCCCTAACACCATCTCTAATCCCAATCTCATTAATTATCTGAAATTGCCAAATCAGACTCTCAGTCTCACCTCTACGTCACATTGTGTTTCTGCCACTTCTTCCTCTCCCCCCCACCCCCATTTTTCGTTCAAATTTCAAGCTCGCTCTCCAAAGATTTTCAAAGATTAGATTTAGAGAGCCTAGACAGACAGACAGACACTTACCATATTGTTTTCTCCAATGTTGGAGAAATGGGAAGAGAGAGTGAAACCATTGTTCAGGTTGTGATGAAGAGGAGAGATTATTAGTGGAGAACTGTGATTGGATACGTTTTATCTCTGAGAGGTTTCCCAAAGGGAACGAAGGTGTTGGTCCTCTGATGCCTTGCTTCTGCAGAACTGATCTGATTCTTTGAGGCTTCAACCATAGCTTCTCCCATATCATCAGCACCATCAAGCTCACAACAATGGCTGCCACAGGCCAAACCATCTCCTTCCCATTCTGCCATTGCCATGCGCATTCACCACCTTCCATCTCTCTCTCTCTCTCTCTCTCTCTCTCTCTCTCTGTGTGTGTAAAAACTGAGCCTGATCAGCATGCACTGTAAAACATTGCTCTTATACAAGTTTGGCTCTGAACATGCGTGCAGGAACAATAATGACAGCAAGTTTGGCAAGTTCTATGTATCTTCATGTCTTGTGTATCTTGCTTTAAAGAAGTCAGTGTTTACAGGAATTTGTGCCAGATTTTTGGAAAATATATATTTTTATAAATAATATGACAATGGACAAGGACAAGGGGTAGGTCGGGATAAAAGTTTAGAAAAAAATAATATGACTATGGAAATGTTCATGTACTTATAACTACCCTCATCAAACTCGAAGGAATGTCATGGATGTATTTAGATGTCATAAATGCACTTAATCGATCATTTAACATTCATGCACTATGAACTATTCATGTATTAAATGTTTGATTTACAATTTATGTAGCATTAAAGTTTTATATTCTCCGTTTTATTTTCACAAATTTTCCTTTTATTTTTTTGATAAAAAAGTAAATTAGCTTTTAAATTATAGATTTATGAGCGTTTAAAACTCTAAATTTATTTTTAATGTAATGTTCTCCTTCAACTTTTAAAAATAATACTTAACCTCTATTATTAATAAAAGTTATTTTAAACCATCAGTTGATAAAAAATAATATAAAAAATAACAAAAAATATATTTAGGGACTCAAATATTATAGATAAGGACCAAAAAATTACATCAAAGGACAAAGAAATTTTTTTTGGGTTATCTACAAGTATTCTCATATTGAAGACAATTTTGTTTTGGACAGTGTTGGGCAAAAAATGTGGACATATCTCCCAACAAGGATTCAAACCTTGGTTTGTTATATTATGAGGAACTAACCCATACTGCTAAATCTAATCCCGTTGGTAGGATTAAGAAACTTTTTTTTTTATTTTTATGTTCTTTTCTATCACTTTTTAGTTAACTAATAGTCAAAGTTAACTTTTATTAATAATAGTGCTAGGTTGTATCGTTTTTAAAAGTTGAAGAAAAATATTACACAAAAAAAAATTTTAGGATCCCAAATGTTCCTTTGTTTTTTTTTTTTTTTGCCAATAGGCCCCAAATGCTTCTAGATCTATAAATTAGAGGTCCATTTATTCTTTTACTCTTAATTTTTTTTGGCCTGATATAAGTTTTAATTTCCCTTTCCCTATACTTCAGAGTTTTTTTTTACATGATTATACTTTAGAATTAATTAATATAAATATGCTTTATTTTTACGAAAGGAAGGAATTTAATTTACAATTTAGTGGAAATGAAATTTTTGTATTTGTGATAAAAGTTCAGGAATGATGTTAAATCCTTCCTGTCAATAGAAAGTTTGTGGAACATGTATTTATCTGCTTTCTCTTTCTCTGTTATGCAGTGCTCTTTGTCTCATATTGTGTAATTTGATTTTTTGGACTGAATCTAATTTCATTTTTCTTTGTTATCCGGCGTGTAATTTGATTTTATTTTATTATTTTTTTTAAAAAAAAGAACCACCGAAAATGTAAACCAGAAACTGAGTATCTGAAACGCACATTCCCACGAACAAATGTCACAGAGATCCACGCTTCGACTTCAACGTTGCAATGTCTAACATCTCATCACCCAGATATGCGTGTGTGTGTGCATTTTTTTTTTTTTTTTTTGCCAACAAGAGGGAGATTCCATTGTACAAAGTCAGAGTTCAACAAATAAAGAATCAAGCAAAACATAAAAAGGACAAGATAAAACAACTATTCAGAGACTCTACAAGAAGAATGATCAACAGAGGAATTGGGGCCTAGCAAGCCGGTCCCGGAGGACACAATTCTTTTAATGAAAATTTGGCAATTCAATCTGCCACTAAGTTTGTTTTTTTAAAATCATGTGAGTGTGGTGTAGTGACTATTTCGTTTCGCCCCTTAAGCATGTGATGGGGAGTTCGATTCCTTACTCATGCAAATGGAGAGCACTCTTATGAGAGACCTCACGGCGAAGGGATTAGTCACTACTACTGATGGTGAATATCCTGAGCAATTGAAAAAAAAAAAATTTAAGAAACCCGCAATAACAAGCAGTTTCTTAACAAATTTTTCATAAAGAGGATGTTATTAAAAGAGGAGAAACACCTCCAATCCACAGTAGTTGACAACGAGTTTAAGCAGTCGATGTACTGTCTAAATTAAATTTAAATAGTGTAAGTTTTAAAATTTAAATTTATATTATATTTATTAAAATAAAAAATTATCAAAATTATATTTTTTTTAACTACTTAGTTTTACATTCTTGACGTATTTTTATTATATTAAATCAAAATAAGTAAATTTTAATGTATTAATAATATTGATAATAAGAGTTTATTAAAAAAATAATTTTAAAAAATTCACATATTTTGATTTAATTAATGAAAAGTATATTAAATATATAAAGTTAAGAATATACATTTTTCTTTTTCTTTTTAAAGTGTCTTGTTTAAAAATATTAGTTTTCTCAAGGTATAAGTAATAAATTTTTCTAAAAATATTCTTAATTATGATTGTGATTAATAATATTTTTTAATTAAAATACCATATTAAATAAAATTAAATATGAAAAATAGAAAAAAAACTGTAATTTTAAAGACAATAAAATTAACTAACTCATTGAAAATATAATTTGATTAAAAGTCTCTTATAACGCTGAACAAAGTATTTTTTTTTATTTACAAGACAAAATTTGGACTCTAGACTCAAAGTATTTTTTTTTATTTACAAGACAAAATTTGGACTCTAGACCTTATGTGGCAATTTTTTTAATTACTTGGTTTTTGATAAAATAAGAGATATCTTGGTATTAATTTTGTATTTTTGACAAATTAAAAAAAATTAAAAATGCATAATCTTGTGGTATTTTTCTTTTGAAAATTAAAAAAATACAAAATTTATGTTTCACTCTTAAAAAATAGCAGGATGTTTTTTATTTTATTTTGAAGAGATAACTAAAAACCGAAGATAGATTATTAAAAATGTCATTATTAGAGGTCGCATAAAAATCTCTCATGCTTGCAATGAATGGAAAGACGGGGACTAATCTGATCCCCATAGATTTGCCCCCATTTTAAGTGCTTTCTTTTTTATTTCACATGATTTCATCAGCAAAGAAAATTAAATTTGACAAGACATGTTATCTTGTTTCACACATGAAAATTCTTCAAGCACGATTAAAACACTCACAAGTTTCATATACTTGATTGTGAACTAAATTATAATTACAAGTACAACCATCCATAGAAACATGAAATTAAAGCAAGATGCATGTAGACATACAAGAGAGAGCTATGGTGTGGATGGAGACATAACATTATGATCATGGAGATGATGATCACCAACACTCACAACACTTATTGATCAAAGCTTGGTAACAAGGAGGGGTGCTCCATATTTGGGATTCAAGGCCAGTTTATAGAAAGGACAGTGACGATAACTAGGTGAAATGGAGAAGGAGAAATTGGACAGAAGAAGAATGAGAGCTATCTTGGCTTCTATAATGGCAAAGTATTGGCCTAAACAAATTTGACTTCCAATTCCAAATGGCAGGTAAGCTTGTGGATACTTGCAAGCATTTGAAACCCCTCCCTCAAACCTTTCAGGCTTGAACTCATTTGCATCTTCTCCCCAGATCTCTGGATCTCTGTGCATCGCAGTGATGAACACCAAAATGTTGGTTCCTTTTGGCACCACCATTTCCCCCACCTTCACTTTTTTTATTGCCTCCCTTGCAGTTGTTATTGCTGGTCCATATAGACGCAGACTCTCTTGAATCACCATTGACAACTACATGCATATCCCAACAGTATCATTATTGAATCAGTAACAATTAGAGTTGGAAATGTAAGTATGGTTTTATGGGTTGGGTCGAGTTAGATTAAAACATTGATTAAAATAAACATAGATCTTCTCTAACTTGGACTAGATAACTTGTTAACTAAATAAGCTAACCCTGATAGGTAAAAGTTAGCTCATTTAACCAATATTATTTATAAAAAATAAAAACATATATTGAAAAATAAAAATTGAGGGTGCTTTGGAATCGCATGTACAATTTCACAAAATAAGTAGATTTGGAATGAATCATGATGAAATGGATCAATATCATATTTATGATGTGATTTTTTTTTTTTCAACGGTATAAAATATCATATTAGAACTTATCATTTAAGTATAATTTTTATTTTTTTTAAATTCATGAAAAAAAATTAAATGGATTGGTGAGCTAACTCATGTAGCCCACTAACCTATGAGAGTTTGGTTAGGTTGGAATTTTTTTCAACCCATATATAAATGGATTAAACCCAACCTAACTCATATTCTCTCCAACTCATATGAACCAACTTATATAATTTGAGTTGGCCAGTATTCTTAGCCTTAGAGTCACATTTACTAAATGCAATGTCATGTCATGTTTTAATGTACAGTTGACCACCTAAACTTTACATGCACTTAGCTTTAAGTTACTAAATCATGGCATTAACGAAGTTGACAAAGGTCATGACTTTAATGCTGGTGATTAGATTGAGATATGATCAGATAAGTGTTTAAGCTGTAGGGACTAACTTGTTTCATATTTCGAAATTTATCCATGTCATGGAAACAGTGAGGAGATATGTTGGGATAGGCTTCAAGAATCTCAGCTCGAAGACGATCCTGCCATTGTGGATGCAAACAGAGAAGAACCAATGTCCAAGTGAGTAAAACAGCAGTGGTTTCTGAGCCTGCAAAGTATATGTTCTTGCAGATATCCACAATCAATTTTTGGGTTTCACGTTTGTGCTTGAGCTTCTTCCACATTCCCCATGCACCACTGCTATTATCAGCCTCATAAGCTGTATTCTCAAGAATCATTTGAAGCAGATCCTTCTGATTTTGATCTTTATGACTTTGGTTTTGTAACTTACGATGATGAACAACTTTAAGTATTAGCTGTTCCATCTCTTTCTCCAACTTCCATATCTTTTTGTTTTCCTTGGTGGGAAGAATTCTGGGCTAAAAACGCTTGTTAGTTTATCTATTGAGCCGATGAAAAATAAAAATAAAATGAGGAAGAAACAATAACATTTGGTTCTTAAACTTATTTCCAATTATCGATTTTGTCCTAAAACTTTACCTCAAAACAACTCAATTCTTATAATTATTTAGTTAACTTGATAAAAAGATTGAGTTGTATTAAGTTAAAGTTAAAAGACTAAATTAGTAATTGAGAAAAATTTTAAGAATTAAAAGTCATATTATCCTAAAAATGAAGGATAGAAGCCATGAATTGAACCTGAGGTATAAAAACCCAAAAAGCATGTTAGGTTTAGCAACAGCAGCTTGTAAGGCAGTAAGTTTGGCAAAAATCTGATTTCCTTGAGCATAAGACCCACTAAAACAAGCCTTTGAAATGATATCAGCAGTGAGATCCTTCATATAATCGTCAATTACAATCTCTGCCATTTTCTTCACCCCACTTTCTTCTATAATCCTCTCCCATTTCCTCATGATTTCCTTTGTAGATTCTTCCATAAAATCCACCATGTTCTGCAAAAATCACACCAACAACAACTATATATATAGCAGATAGTACATGCATGAATGGCAGCAGCTAGAAATTAATTAATTAACCTGAATCTTGAGGAGGGAAAACTCAGGAGCTATAAGGTTCCTTTGGAAAGACCAGGGAGGTCCATTGACTGTCAAGATACCAGAACCCAGCAATGGTTTCAAAGGCTTGAAAATGTAGGTAGGCCTACCAAGATCCATGGGCTTTGCCCGATTCAGCTCTTTGATCAGTTTAGGATCTCCTATATATAGATGCTGAATGTGTCCAGTGGAGAACACGAATGTTGATCCTGATCATCATATGTGATTAAGACATTATTAAGAGAGACCCCTGTTAAGAACGAGGAGTGGGAGAGAGAATAAATGGGTTGGGCAAGAACAACGGAAGATATCACCATCTTAACTCAAAATTTTAAAATTAGAGTTTATAAGTTTTTTTTTTTCATAAACTCGAGTTCTAAAGTGTAGAGTTGAGATGCGGTGTCCTTTTATTAATTTGCTCAATTATTCTCTCACTCCATATCGTCACTCTCCATTACTAACATGTACCAACTAGAGAGAGAGGGAGTACAGTTACCGTATTGTTTTCTCCATTGTTGAAGAAATGGGAAGAGAGAGGGAAACCATTGTTCAGGTTGAGATGAAGAGGAGAGACTGTTATTATTGAAGAAGTGTGATTGGATGCGTTTAATCTGAGAGAGATTGCCGAAAGGGAAGGAAGGTGATGGACCTGTGATGCCTTGCTTCTGCAGAACTGATCTGATTCTTTGAGGCTTCAGCCATAGCTTCTCCCAGATAATCAGTATCATGAAGCTCACAACAATGGCTGAGACCGACCAAACAATCTCCTTCTTCATCTGCCAATACCATGCCTCTTCACCACCTTCCATCTCTCTCTCTCCCTCTCTCTGTCCCTCCGTTTTTTCTGCAACAAGTGAGCTTTTAAAGTTTGGCACTCAGCATGCAGGAACAGTACTATATAGTATGATTACAAAAGTTTGGTATGGCATGTTCTATTCACATGTCAACTCATCGTACCGGGAGAAAAAACAGTACATCATTCCATGTTTATGGAAACTTGCGCCAAAATTTGGAATAAAAATAATAATAAGCTCGCATAATGGCAGTCAGCTTCTTTTACTTTGAAAGAAGCCTCTTTATCTCGCCTTTTGGGCAGGGAAAAATTTGATCCGTTCAAATTTAATATTTTTATTTTTTATTTTTTATTTATATTTTTACAATAAAAAATGTATAAAAATTATAAAAAAATTTAATAAATATATTTATCAATTTGATAATTCAGATTTAATATAAATGATTCAAATTTAATATAAAAAATTTAAATTAACTTTTTAGATATATTCTGGACAATGTAAATATATTTTGAACAGAATAATAAATTTATTAAAAAAATTTAATATTAAATTTAGATCTTTTATATTAAATCTAGAATATCAAATTGATAAGTATATTTATTAAAAAAAATTCATCTTTTATATTTTTTATTTTAAAACCATAAATAAAAATATTAAATTTAAATGGTCCAAATTAAACCTCTGTCTTAAAGGAGAGGCAAAGAAGGCTTCTCTTAAAGGACAAAAGTCAAGTCCCACATAATGACACCAAAAGTTTTTAATTAGAAATATTTATTAATTATTAATAATAGTATATCTGATTAATTGGTAACATTTATGTACATACACCCTCAAAGGAAAGTGAATACATGTATTTAGAATGATGTTCATGTATTTAACTATTTAAGTACTACAATTCATGCATTTAATGCAATTCATTTATGAAGTATATATTTAATAAAGATATTTCGTGTGCATATATATATATATATATAATGAAAGTTTATAATTAAACAGAAAAATTTATGGTTATATGTCAACATGTCATCAAGTTTAAAAAATGTCTTACATGTCAACAACATTGATATGAGACAAACAAACGATAACTCACAATAATCTAAAATTTTACTATGTGTCTCATAGAGAACAACACTAATTGAAAAAGCATCACAATTAAAAAAAATTAATTCATAAATTCAAATCAAATAGATGAAAAATACAAAAGATTGAATCATTTAAATAGATTTCTAAAATCCTAAATGATACAATCCTAGTTAATCTAGGATTTTAAATGGATAGATCATATTCTAAATGGATATATTGTATCCTTATTTAAATTAAAACAAAATAAATTAATTTTCCTAAACTTAAATTTTAAAATTAAAATAAGATAAACTAACTTTCTAAATTTAAGGAAAAAACAATAACTGAACTAATTGGACCCGCTTTGGGCTTGAGTGTTTTGGATTAAGCCCAATATGCAAAGAGTCTTTTTTTAATTTTTTAGAACTTTATTTGCCTTTAAGACTTCTTGATAATTTAAAACATTTTTAATTAATGAATTTAATGTTTCTTTCATCCTCTTAACTTTGAATGTAGTTATTGATCTTTCAGTGCCCTGTAACATATCAAAGAACTTCCTTTTATTTCTCTCAAGCTAGCTTTCCCTTTTATATATTCGATTCCTTGCACTTTAGAATTAATTAATTTACAAGATGTTTTTAGTGATTATATATGGCAAAAATGTTTTTATGATTTGCGTAAGTTTGTTTAGAATGAGACATCTTTAAGCTTACACATATAACCCTCACTTTTGATTTGTCCATTCGTCTGATTGCATGCACGTAAACAGGAAAAATTATATATAAGTCTCATGAAATATATTTATTTATAAATAAATTTTGTAAAATTTAAAAACCACGGTAAATTCATTAGGATCTGAATATAATTTAAAATTAAAATGTAAAGAAAATACTGCTTTTATTTATTCGGTTACAATATTAAAGATGTCCCTTTCCCTCAATTAAATCTTATGCATGCTCTGTTTGTTAGCGATCCCTCTGTTCACGATCACTTTGTCGCATTCTTCACATGGCACAATGATCGACGCTCTCTCTGCCTTGTTCTTACTCACCCATTGGAGCTTACAGAATTGTTTGTTATCGACGCTCTATTTGCCTTGTTTGCACAAGCAACTCATTCGGCATCACAATCAACTTTGATCAACGCTGCTTGTCCCTGTTATTAGACTTACTATGCACATTAAAGGCCTTATCTGAATCAACTGGTATAATTTTATTATCTAGTTTAAGTTTTTATTATTCAATTTTTAGACTGCTTTATGGTCAAAGTCACTAGGAATTGGGTAGTGGAAAGGAGATTTGACTGTTTACAAAAATGTTTGAATATTTGCTTTGCTAGATTTTTTTTTTTTCAAAGAGTGACCGAGTTCAGTTAGGAGGGAAGAGTTGCAAAGAACAAAATTGGTTTGATTGATCTTATAATTACTAAAAACACATGATAAACTAAACTATTGCATATATGAAGTTATAGTTATAAAGAGTTATAGTGATAGTTATAAATTATTAATGCGATAGTTGTAAACTCTTCATATTAAACTTGGTAGCAATGTATAACCAAATTAATTATTAGATTTGTGAAATTAGGACTGTAAAATATTGAAGTGATAGTTGTAAATTATTTATGTAGTAAAACTTGTAACGTATAATTAGTTTAACTATAAAACATATGAAGTTACAATTATAAAAAGTTAAAGTTATAATTATAAATTGTCAATAAAATAGTATTAATTAATTGCCTCTAATTTTTATACTAGCATAATTGTCTCTAAATTAATATCTCTATATTTACTTTCATTTAATAAGATATATTTTTTAAAAATGAAAGGTTAATTGATTGATTGATTTATTTATTAAAGATATTTTTTAAAAAAATCATTAGTTACATGTAAAAAATAAAAAATACATTATATTTTTAGACATCTAAATTTATATTTTTAAATGACATGTACTTTTGAACAAAGGAAGTGTGTATACTCTATATGCAAAATGAAATAAATGTCAAATTTAAAATTTAAAAAGGTATATATATATATATATATATTATTTGATACATATATTGTTTTAATCTAAAGTGTACTTTTGTTGTCTAATTTTAGATGAAGTTTTAATTTAATCTTTTAATTTGTAAGATATATTTTCAATCCTCTAATTCTACTTTTAAATGTTTATTTTTATGCTAATTATTATTATTAAAAAATTTAAATTTAATATATCAATATTTAAAAATTTAAGAAATATTTTATGATGAATCTAACAGTACTAAATTAAGAGACACTTTATTATAAAATAAAGGAAAGCCACATTTAGCCTATTGTTTTATTTGCAGGATTTCATCTTCCAGCTTGGTAACAAGGACGGGTGCTCCATATTTGGGCACCAACACCATTCTGTAGGAAGGACAATGGCGATAATTAGGCGAAATGGAGAAGGAGAAGCTGGACAGAAGAAGACTCAGCACAATCTTCGCTTCTGTCAATGCAAAGTGTTGGCCTGCACAGATTCGACTTCCGAGTCCAAACGGTAGGTATGCTTGTGGATACTTGCATGCTTCTGAAACTCCTCCTTCAAATCTCTCAGGCTTAAACTCACTCGCATCTTCTCCCCAGATCTCTTTGTCTCTGTGCATTGCAGGTGTCAAGATCCATATGTTTGTTCCTTTTGGCACTACCAATTCGCCTAGCTTCATCTCCTCCAATGCCTCCCTCGATGTTGTTATTCCTGGTGAGTACAGACGCAGGCTCTCTTGAATCACCATCGTCAACTGCCATAATATTATTGTTATTCGGCAAGTTTCAAGTACATGATCGGAACTTATAATCCTTGTTCGATTAATTTTAAGGGAGGAGATCAAGGATACTAACTTGTTTCAGTTTTCGAAAATTATCAGCGTCGCGAAAGCAGTGAGGTGACATGTCGGAGAAGGTATTAGAAATCTCCGATCGAAGACGGTCTTGCCACTCAGGATGAAATGCCAGAAGAACCAACGTCCAGGTAACTAAAACTGCAGTGCTCTCCGATCCTGCGAAGTATATGTTCTTACACATATCCACAATCAATTTCTTAGTTTCGTGTTTGTGCCTTAGCTTCTTCATGATTCCAGATCCACTTTGATTTTTGGCGTTTGCGGAACTGTCAATAATTAACTGTAATAGGTCCTTTTGATTCTCATTTCCATACCTTTGGTTTTCCAGCTTACGATCAGAAACCACTTTCAGTATTAGCTTCTCTACCTCTTGCTCCAGCCTCCAAATCTCTCTGTTTTCCTTGGTGGGAAAAAATCTGCACACGTATATACTCATTGATTATACTGAATTGATAAATACTCTATACTCGATCAAAAGTTATTAATATTCTTGTTATTTTAGCAACTACTGGTTTCATGAGTGAATGAAGGGTGCTTAATTTTTTAGTCACTTACAAGTGCCTATCACTTGTTTGACAAAAGTCTTTCAACTTGTGAGTTTGTTTTATTTGTATTTTAGGGAGAGGATTTGTGAACTATGAATGAAATATACTGCAAAAACATAGATTGACAAGAAGGAAGCTAGAAAAATGAAACCTGAGGTTTAAAAACCCAAACAAAAGGTTGGGTTTAGCAAGAACGGCTTGCAAAGCAGCGAGTTTAGAGAAAATCTGATTGCCCTGAGCATAAGAGCTACTGAAAGACGCTTTGCTAATAACATCAGCTGTGAGGGCCTTCAAATCATCGTCAATCACAATCTCTGCAACTTTGCCTCCATTTTCTATTATAATCCTTTCCCATTTCCTTATGATTTCCTTTGTAGATTCTTCCATATAATCCACCATTTTCTGTAAATTCCATAACAACCATATAAAATCACTTTTTCATTAAAAAAAAAACGCCAAGAGTGAGCTCCATATTTTTCCCATTACTATATCTTCAAATAGCATTTAGTTTTGATTGTTGAGTCTCTTTCATTTGAAAACAAAAATAGAGTGAAAGTAAATGTAGAAATTAACCTGAATCTTGGAGAGGAAAAACTGAGGAGCGATAAGGTTTCTTTGGAAGGACCAATGTTGTCCATTAGCTCTGATGATGCCATCTCCCAGCATCGGTTTCAAAGGCTTGGTCAAATAGGAAGGCTTACCCAAGTCCAAGCTCCTTGTCAGATTCAACTCTTTGATCGTTTCTGGATCTCCCACATACAGATGCAGCCTATTTCCAATAGAGTACAGGTATGTTGGACCTGATCATTTTCACGCACACACGCACACACACTCATATTCATGTAACTTTCATAAATACACATTCAGATGAAGAGTACGCAGAGATATACCATATTGTTTCCTCCATTGTTGGAGATATGGGAAGAGAGAGCAAAACCATTGATCTGAGAATGATGTTGAGGTTGGAGAGGTGAGCTTGGAGTATTGTGATTGCATGCGTTGAACCTCAGAGAGATTTCCCGAAAGGAAGGAAGGGATTGGTCCATCGATCCCTTGCTTCTTAAAAGCTGATCGGATTCTTTGAGGTTTCCACCACAGAACCTCCCATATTGTCAATACTAAGCAGCTCATCGCTATGGCAACCGCTGACCAAACCATCTCCTTTGTTTGCCATTGCCATGCATCTTCACCAATTTCCATCTCTCTCTCTCTCTCTCTATATATATATATATCACTCTTACACATGTAACAGCTGAGCTTAGTGACGCCTCCCCTGCTTTTATACTTGACACCGTAGAGCAAAATACATTCATTTAATGAATGTCATAAATACATGTATTTAGAATTATGTTCATATATATGGTTGACTATGTAAGTATATTAATGCATTTAAAAAGATTCATGTATCAATATCCAATCCTCTTCTTGTCCAACCAGTAACTTACTCCCTTTGTTTTTTTATCACTAAGAGAAACCACCGTGCACACCATTATTTTCTTTTATAAGTAAAAATACAAATTTCTAGAAGCATTTTTTTTTTCATTTTTCTCCAGTTGCCTCTCGTAACCGGATAATATCATTAAATTAAAGAAAAAAGTAAGATTAATTATAAGGGGCGTTTTAGTTCAAACTTTTCAATTTTAGACATAATTGATAGGATTAACTAATTTTTTTTAAATTGTGAATTGATTATTTTTCTTTTATATTTAATTAATAGTTTGGAGAATCTTGTTGCAAGTAACATGAGGAAATACTAAATCCTAATTTATCCGAATCTTCTAAATAACATCACGTAGTGAATATGTACCTTATTTCTTGCCTAAAATTCAAAACTTTTTAAACAGTGCGTGCCTATATTATTTTTTTATAAGATATTATGTTATTTTGCATCTATCTTTTCTATTATGCTTTTTGTATTATGATAGATAAGTTTATATTATATATTATTTAGGAGTGGAATTATACTATTGTTTTTTTCCTTCATAGGTTGCTCAATATCATAAGAAATGAAGGAAGATTTTTTACCAACAATAGGCAAGAAATTTGACATTGTAAAAGAACTGTGGAAATTTTGAATTGTTCAAGAAAAATTTATATTTTAGGTGGGAAATGGGATATACATTCACTATACGTGAAATTATTTAAGATATTTAAATGAATTTAAATTCAATGTTTCCTAATTTTGATTGTGACAAGATTCTCTAAGCCCTTAATTTAAAGGACAGAATTGATTTTGCTATGTGGGTATATGCGTCCAATGCCTGTAGTTGCTACACGCAAGGGATCCAAATTTCAAATTCACCATAATTTAAATTTGAATTTGATTAATGGCTAATTAAATGCCCATGATTTTGGTAGCAGTAGATTAGGCCAACAGATCAAGAAAATCACAAGTCAAATTCGTCTTCCTCAACTGGTAAAAAAAAAAAAATTCGTCTTCCTCTTCCTCCAAAAACCTAGCGTTATTACTTCTGTGGCAACTAGTGAGGGCGAATAACATCTTAAAGACAATGTGGTCAACGTGTTTTTTTTTTTTTCCTAAGCGATTATTGCTAAAATATGTCCGTATTTTCCTTGCTTGGAATGAGAGTGTACATGAATCTAGCTAGTAGCCTGCTACATCTATTTGGTCACACTTGTCCTAACTTTTCCAAATTATATGTTCAACGGATAATTTTAGAGGACGTAAAACTGGAACAAATCCAAAAGGTTTTAGGTAGGAATTGAAGTTTAATTTATTTTAAATGTAATTTTAGTCTCTCAAGTTTTATGAAAATTTTGATTTAATTTGAGCCACTCTATTTAACAATACAGGATGTTATATTTTTTAATAGGGTTAAATGGTAAATTAATTCTAAATTATAGGTTCAGGAATAATTGGAGTTCTAAACTTATTTTTTTGTCACTATTCTCTTTAAATTTTTCAAAATGGTGTAACATGACCCTAACTGTTAATAAAAATTAATTTTGATCGTTAGTTCATAAAAAAATTACAAAAAAAAAATTAAACAATGACCAATAAAATTATGAATAAGGACCCAAAAATACAACAAAAGAAGAATTTTTATGTAATTTTGAAGTCCTTCTCTATAATTTTCTTGATCAACTAATGATTAAAATTAATATTTGTTAACAATAAGGGTCATATTGCACCATTTTAAAAAGTTGAAGGAAAACATTATATTAAAAACAAGTTCAAGACCTCATGTTTCTAGATTAATAATTTAGGGGCTAATTTGTAATTTAACAATTTTTAATATTTCAAAATATTCTAATGCTAATCCACTAGCTTGCAATTAATCCTCCATCTCCTTGAACTTTAGTTTATCTTAACTCTATTTTTATACTAGAGAATGACACTTAAGTCCTAAAAAAATTATTTTATTCCAATAAAATCTCAATGAATTTCAAAATATGGAGGAATTCTCTTGGTCCTTAATTGATCTTTAGACAAAATTTTAAACTTATAAGTTTACAACTTATTTTTTTGATTTTGCAACTCCTTCTACTTTGATTTACAACTCAATTTTCTATTGAGTTTAAGAACACAATTTTTTATAAAAAAATTAATATTAAATTTTGTAAAATTATTTGTTCGATTTCTAAGAATTCACAACTTACTCTCTTAGATTTGCAACTTCATGCACTATGATTGGCAACTACATATCTCAATTTTTTTTTTATGAACACAATCTCAATATTTATTTTTCTCATGAGAAATTACGTATTCAATTTTAAGACTTTGCAACTTTCACTCTATAGTTTTCCATTTATGTTAGTTTGCAATTCAAGTTCCAAATTATATTTAAAAATTCAAGATTCAACCTTGAATTTATAATGTTATTTTTTGAGCTATAGGTATTTGTAACTTATTTTTTCATATTTGCAACTTGATATCTCAATTTTATTTATAAACACAAACTTTCAATATTAATTTTATTTAAAAAAATTTATTCATGAATTTCTAAATGATATTTGGAACCAAGCTGTATACCAAGGTAAATGAAATTGCACATTAGGTAAAGTAAATTGTAAATTATTGGAACTGAATAAATAATTTCTCATGATAAAAATAAATATTGAGATTATACTTATAAATAAAATTGGGATACAAAGTTACAAATTATGGTAGATAAAGTTGCAAATTTGAGAGAATAAATTACAAATTCTTGAAAAGTGAATAAACAATCTTATAAAATTTAATGTTAAAATTTTGTGTTTTTTATTAAAAAAATTGTGTTCTTAAATTAAATTGAAAAACTGAGTTGCAAATTTCAAAAAATATGTTACAAATCTGGAAGTTTAAAATTTAGTTAAAAGATCAATGAAGGATTAAGAGATTTCTTTTTGCATTTTAAATTTCGTTGAGACTTTACTGAAATAAAATAATTCAATTGAAACTTAAGCATCATTCTCCCTTTTCATAACTTTTAATTCAAGCACACCTTTCACCACCTTAAACTTTGTAAGAGCCATTCTGTGTACACTAAATAATTATTTTAGAATATAAAATTATGAATAAAATCCTTTGGCTTCTAGAAAACATTTTGATTTGTACTTAATTGCTACGAATATAAGGCGAGCAATTAGAATTTGCCACATACATTAAAAGATGTTATATATATACATATAGAATGTGTTACATATATTAAAAGATGTCATATACTCCATCCAGTCCACATTATAAGACCGTTTTTAGAAGATATACTTGATTCATATTATAAGTGACTGACAGTTGAGGACTTTCCATTTCAAAATGAAATTCTAAAAATGTCCATTCACTTTACTCTATCTTCATTCAGCTGGTATGCTCTCTCTCTCACTCTGTCTTCAGCTTTTTCTCTTACCATCCACTTTTTCTGTACAGTATTATGAAAAAGAATTATTTAAAAAATAATATTATATTGTTTGGATTACTTTTTGATTTTTTATTTGAAGGTTAGTTTTGGAATTTCATTTATAATTATTTTTTACACTGTTGTTGCATTGATATTGGTGAGGTTGGTAAATATGACTTATAAAATAGGATCGAAAGAAGTATATATATATATATATATATATTGTATATATGTAATGTAATTCAAGTTATCGAACTCATTTAATAAAATAAGAGGTTTGCCATTGTTGTTGCGTATAAGTGCAACACGCTTCTCTTGAATCTTTCTCGAGTCATAAGGATAAATGATCACCATGTACTTAGTAATAGTATGGGACTAATTATTCTTAAGTTCCACAAGATAATAATATCACAAAATTATTTAGTTGACATAATAATAACTAACAATTATCTAGTAATAATTAACAATTTCAATTAAGAATATGTAAAATATAAATATAACCAATTAAAGTTGGTCTTAGTGAAATGGGCTATGACTATTTAAGTATAAAATATCATATTTGACTATATCTAAATATAAAAAATGTTTTTGAAAGAGCTACTCCCAATGAGGTCTAGCGATGTTTGAATTTGATGCAATAATCATACACTCATATAAAAAAGAAAAAAATAACAAAAAATTTCATTTAAATATGTAAATGATAGATTGGTCCCACGAAATGGCATAATTCTTTTGAAGTTCCATAGGATGTTTCTATCATTAGGAAATTTAAAGAAATGACCAAATTGCTATCAAAAAAAATAAAAATTCAAAGTTTCAATGCAGAGTCATTTTCGCTCATTCTTGACTCTGCTTCATCCTTTTGTTTTCATTTTCTTCTCTTCCTCGTGCCGTTCTTCTGGTTTATCTTTGTCTTCTCTTTCTCCTTCTCATTTGTCTTATTTCTTTTTGAGTTTTTATACAAGGGTGATTTATTTTATTGAGCTGCTGCATATTGATATATGTAAGCAATTATTCTTCCTCTGTTAGTTGTGCTGTATGTGGGTAAATTTTCTCTCCTCCTTGAAAATTTCTCTTTTCATGTGTGATAGTTAAAATTGATGTAGGTCAATGTGTGTAAATAATTGATGTCTTCATTTTCTCTTCATGATTGAGGTCTTTATTTTCTCTATTGTATGTGGGTGTGAATGCTTATTCATAGATAAATGATAAATGATATATCACTTTTAGTTGTGTTGTAAATGCATAAATCAAAGTTGTGAATGGCCAATATAAAATTGTGAATATAAAAAAAAGTTGTTATTATAGAAAATATAATAAATATGTGATTATGATATTTGAAAAATAGACATGTTGATGAATGGCTATTGATTCAACCTTTCATATATTTTTGTCAAAAGGATTGTTGGATATTTTGATGTAAGTTGTAAATCATGCAATTGACAACAAAATCTTAAATAGTTGTCACTTTTTAAGGTTTTTATATTATTTAAAATAAAAAAGTTGTTATTTCTTGAAATAGATTGGTAATTTATTCTTGCTAATTTAGTGAATTTATAGATGGTATTGATAAATTATAATTTATCATTGTATTGTTGCGAATTTAGGGACAAAAGTTGTTAATATAAAAATAAAAATTATGAATAAAAAGTTATAAATTTTTAACACCTGATGTATATTAAGACTTATATATGTAGAGTTAAGAATAACTATAGAATTGTTGTGAATTTAAAAATAAAAATTGTTAATATAGGAAAAAAGTTGTGAATTTTTAACACTCGATGCATATTAAGACCTGCAAATGAGGAGTTGTGAATGACTATTGAATTACTATAAATTTAGAAATAAAAATTGTTAATATAAGAATAAAAATTGTGATGAAAAATTGCGAATTTTCAACACTTGATGCACATTAGGACTTATAGATTAGGACTTGTAAATAACTATTAAATTGTTACGAATTTAGAAACAAAAGTTATTATTACATGAATAAAAGTTGTGAATTTTCAACATCCGATACATATCAAGACCTGCAGATCAAAACTTATGAATAACTATTAAATTGTTGTAAATTTAAAAACAAAAGTTGTTAATATATAAACAAAAATTGTGAATGAAAAGTTATGAATTTTTTTAATTTGAATAAAAGGCAAAAGTGTCATTTCCTATAACTCCCTAACGACAAAAATATCCCTTAAGACTCTAGAGGAATTATTATATTTTGTGGAACCAATCTATCATTGATATAATTTAAATAGATTTTCTGTCATTAACCCTATAAAAAAAAAGGAAAAATGAGAATAAAATCTCCCTGAAATGTATAAATAATAATTTGGTCCTTTTAAATGCAATAATTTCTTTGAAGTTTTTAAGGACTTGTCTTTCATTAATGAATTTATATAAATTATTAAATTATCCTTATTAAAAATAAATAATTTATAAGCTTTGTTTAAATATTTATAATCATGTAATAACAAATCTCAATTTCATATATTAATTTCTTATTTACTGTTGCATTGTTGTGAATATAAAAAAAAGTTGTGAATATTTAAACAAAATTTGTGAATCATTTATTTTCAATAAGAGTAATTTAATAATTTACATAAATTTATTAATAATAAAAAAATTTTAAAAATTTTAAAAAAATTATGACATTTTAAAAGATTAAATTATTAATTATATATTTGAGAAAAATTTTTATTATTAATTTCCCATAAAAAAACATGTGAAATATAACACCTTATTGTGTTTAAAACTTCAAATTACTTGAGCAGAATCGTAATTTCCCTAATTTCTATCGAGTTTCGTAGGGTTACAAAGCTTGCGCGCGCGCACAACAGAGAGAGAGCGCGCGCGATTATTTATTATACAGTTGATCCACAATATAAACTAGAGCTTGGTAACTATGAGGGGTGCACCATATTTGGGCATCAAGAGCATTTTGAAGCAGGGACAATGGCGATAATTAGGGCTAATGGAGAAGGAGAAGTTAGACAGAAGCAGCGACAGCATTATCTTGACCTCTATCAAAGCAAAATTCTGGCCTACACAGATCCGACTTCCAAATCCAAATGGTAAGTATGCTTGTGGGTACTTGCAAGCTTCTGCAACCCCTCCTTCGAATCTCTCTGGCCTGAACTCGTCAGCATCTTCTCCCCAGATCTCTGCATCTCTGTGCAGTGCAAGCATGAAGATCCATATGTTTGTTCCTTTTGGGACCACCACTTCACCTATCTTTATGTCTTCCAATGCTTCTCTCGATGTTATTATTCCCGGTGAGTACAGGCGCAGGCTCTCTTGAATCACCATTGTTAACTACCACAACATTATTTGTTCACCACTATCAGAAATGCTTGAATTTATACATTTATTCATGAATCAGCTGGAAATTGATTATTCCATTTAGGAGAAGGGTACTAACTTGTTTCAGGTTTCGAAATTTTTCGGTGTCTTGGAAGCTATGAGGCGACATGTTCGAGAAGGTATCAAGAATCTCCGATCGAAGACGTTCTTGCCAGTGAGGATGCATGGCTAGAAGAATCAACGTCCATGTAACCGAGAGAGCAGTGGTCTCTGATCCTGCAAAGTAGATGTTGGAGCACATATCCACAATCAGTTTTGTGGTTTTGCGTTTGCGTCTCAGCTTCTTTAGGATTCCCCATCCACTGAGATCGGCGTCAACAGCACTGTCAATCATTAACTGTAAGAGGTCCTTTCGATTCTCATTTACAAGCCTTTGGTTTTCCAGCTTACGATCTTCAATCACGTTCAGTATTAGCTTCTCGAACTCTTTCTCTAACCTCCGTATCTCTCTGTTTTCCTGGGTCGGAAGAAATCTAAACACACACACACACAGATGTACTCATTAATTATATTGTGTTGATGAATCTGATACGAATTTAAATCATGGTTCTAAATGGATAAAGGGTGAATAACTTTTCAGCCATCCACTTGCAACTATAACCTGTTTGATGAAAATCCTGTGTCACTGTGTGTGCGCTCTGTTACTCTTTTTTTGCTTATAGGTCTCTTGATTTTGCAGTTTTGATAGAGGATTTGTGGATTACACTAGATTATAACTAAATAGTAAGGAAGCTAGAAGTGAAACCTGAGGTTTGCAAATCCAAACAGTAGGTTTGGTTTTGCAAGAGCGGCTTGCAAGGCAGCGAGCTTAGCAAAAATTTGATTGCCCTGCGCATAAGAGCTTCCGAAACAAGCTTTGCAAATGACATCAGCTGTAAGAGCCTTCAAATCATCATCAATCACAATCTCAGCAGCTTTCCCTCCACTTTCTGTTATACACCTCTCCCATTTCCTCATGATTTCCTTCGTAGATTCTTGCATAAAACCCACCATGTTCTGTAAATTCCACAGCAACTATTCAGTATTCACTATTCAGTCCACTACTGCACACAAAAAGTTTGTCAAATTTTTGCCAAATTTGAGAATAGTAAAAATAGAGTGAAATTGAAACTAGAAATTGACCTGAATCTTGGAGATGAAAAATTGAGGAGCAATAAGGTTTCTTTGGAAAGACCAGTTGTGCCCATTAGCTCTGATGATGCCATATCCCAGCATAGGTTTCAAAGCCTTGGACAAATAGGAAGGCCTACCAAGATCCAAGCTTCTTGTCAGATTCAACTCTTTGAGCAATCCTGGATCTCCCACATACAGATGCTGCTTATTTCCAGTAGAATACAGGAATATTGGACCTGATCACCATCTTCATATTCATATACCTCATACATATACATATTGAGATTAAGATAGCGAGACACATACCATATTGTTTCCTCCATTGATGCAGAAAAGGGAAGAGAGAGTGAACCCATTGGTCTGGAATTGAGGAAGAGGAGAGATTGGAGATCTGTGATTGGATTTTTTGAATCTCAGAGAGATTACCCAAAAGGAAGGACCCTGTTGGCCCTGTTATGCCTTGCTTATGAAGAACTGATCGTATCCTTTGGGGCTTCAACCACAGCTTCTGCCATATTATCAGAACTGTGCAACTTATCGCTATGGCTGCCACCGACCAAACCATCTCCTTCATCTGCCATTGCCATGCCTCTTCACCGCCTTCCATCTCTCTCTCTGCCCCTCTCATCTAACAGCTCAGTTTAGTAACACCTCGCTTTTAGTTATTGGCTACCTTGTATGCTGGAAGGACAACTCATGGTTCAGTGTCTTTTTCTGGGTAAAGAGTTTCAGAGTCGTTTGCATGAGCTGAGAAAATTCGCATTTGATTTCATCCGTTGACCAAAATTTCAAACTCGTTATAACAATGAGCAGAAAGTGTTAATATTTGATTTAGGTTATTTTCTTTCAGGCGACTTCGATTATTGGGAAATTTACTCCTTGACCAAACATAATAAAAAAGATATTCCTTTAAAATCAGAAATTTCGTTACAGACCAAGAATAGGGAAACAAAATTAAAATGCAAATTAAAATTATCTTCTTATCCCTAGTGGAAAATTAGCTGTGCGTATAAACAATTTTAGTAGAAAAGTTGACCACTTGACAATGGAAAATGAAAAGATTTAATATGAGACATTTACAACTTTATTTACAATGATAACAATAGTTTGAATAAAAACAAATAATGCTATGTTACCAGCAACTCCTGTAAAAAAATTAACCATTTCAATATAGGAAATGAACAATTTCAATATAAGAAATTTGTAACTATTTTTATCATGATAATAGCATTAAGAATAAAAATAAGTGAAGTTATACATACAAACAACTTCTAAAAAAAATAGCTACTTTCGTGTGGGCAATGAACAATTACATATGAAAAATTTGTTACTTTTTTTATCATGATAATAGCATTAAGAATAAAATTAAGTGAAATTATGCACACAGACAATTTTGATACAAAAATTAACTATTTAGTATGAAAAATAAACAACTTCAATGTAAAAAATTTGCAAGTGTCTCTTATCTGGGTTAAGCCACTAAGGACAATGAGATAATTTTAATTTGCATTTTAATTTTATTTAACTACTCTTGATTTATAGTAAAACTTCATATTTCAAGGGACTTTCTTTTTCATTATGTATGGTCAACGGGCCTAGATTGAAATTTTTTTATAGATTACTTGAATCAACTGCGTATATTTTGTTTGGCCTCTTATATAATAGATTGTTTGACAATTATTTAAAAAAGATTATGTAATTTTTTTATTTCAATAGGTGGTGGCTGTACGTTATGATTGTGATTATATATTATAATATTGTTATTTATATTATATATAACAAGAGACCCACGTTATAAGATAAAAATTGTCACTCGTCCTGGCTGTCAGTACTCGGGTTCTTGGCTGGTTGTGTAAGGAATATGCTTTGCGGGTAGATAAAAGTTAAAACTGAGTTTTGTAACCTTTTCTGAATTTTAAAAATGAAAAAAAGAAGAAGAAAATAGGGCTGACCTTATATAAATATAGTGACGGATTCAGAAAAATTTAATCAATGAATTGCACTTAAAATAAATATTAATATTTATTAAATTAGACTATAGATAGAATTTATTAACGTCATAAATATACAATTATAATAATATAAAAATAATATTGTTTTCATACAATCAAAATTTTTATAATATTAGAAAATAATACTTTCTTCAAATTTTTTATTTATTAAATAAAATTTATCTACTTTCCTTTGTATAGTATAGAAATTCTTTGTGATAAAATTTTTTATTTGAACAATTAGAGAAAGTTATTTTTTAAAATTATTGTTGCCTCCATTCTAAAACTATCTTTATTTAAAGTTATTATATGAAGATAAATTTCTATATCAAATAATTTTTAGGGGGAAGAGTGAAAATTTTAAGAGGCCAAATGATTTTTTTTAGGATGGGGGCAGTTGGAAATTTTTAGCTAGGGAGTTTAATTGACTTTTTTCCGGGCATAATTTTTTTTTTTTCTTATACAGTGAGGGCAATTGCCGGCACTTTCATTTCATGCATGAAGGTCCATACCCATTTGTGCGCGCGCGCGCGTGGTTGTTGTATCCTCTTCATTTAAAATATTAAAAAAAATTAGAATAACTCTTTAGCCACGTGATTATACAGTTAAAAATTCACGACGAATGGATATGTTTGTTTGATGCAATAACGTCTTGACTTGGTTTATTATATAATAACTGAGAATGACTTTGGAAAATAAAATGTTCACTTGTTTCTTTCCGTTTGCATGATAACGATCTCGTGGGGCTATGGGAGGTGATAAAAGAAAATTGTATCTGACGGGGGCAGCGGCAACCATAGAGTAAGATTCAAATACAAGTGAGGAAAAATGGTTGAAAAATGTTAAAGTTGATTTACGCCATCCAACTATCATTGTAATAGACCTCGGTTTTAGAAATTTGAATTGAATAAAGGTGAGTGTTTTCCCTTGACATTGTTTGAGATTTTTCTTTTTTTGAAGCAAATACATTGTTTGAGATTTATAATCTTTCTTTTACTATGAAGCATTTATGAGTTAAAAGGGTAAAAATGTCCTAATTTTTTTTTTAAAGTAGTGACTGGTATCTTTTTTTTTTTTTTTGAAACAATGTCGTGGTGCAATTTCACATTAAATTGAAAAAATATTGTTAAAGATAGAATTTAATCAACTGAAGGAAAGGTGTCAAGTGGGTATGGTTCAATTAAGACAGATGAAGAAGAGCTTGGAAAATGGGGTCGGTGAAGACAGCGTACCAGAACTTGTGGATTCACTTATCGCGACAATGATTTGTTTTAGGAAGCCTTGAGAGTATATCCTCCAACAGTTCCTGAAGCAGATTTGAATTTGATTCCTTCACCATTTAGTAATTTACTGCCTCGCTTCTGGTCTTCCTTCTTTTCTTAGTCTGTCTTTTATTTTCGAGGGAGGTGGAGGCGATAGACAAGGATTGGCTGTTCTTTCCGGTTTATAATACTCAGTTTTAACCACATTTATTATTCAGGCCAAAGAAAAGAAAACCATATTTATAACAAGTGAGAAGGGCGCCTACCTGATGGAGAGGAATTGATTCACAGGGAGACCCAACTGGAATCCCTCGATGGAATTAGAATCAAGCTTCTTCTTCCTCCTGCATGCTTGCCTCTGCAATATCCTCAGATTGCTCGAAACAGTCAATCCCCCTCCCCCTGCATATTCCATGTCTGCTGTGATCTGTGTCTCAGTCGCAACAGCCATGGCCCTCCTACCCACTTGACACCTGTCCTCTCAGTTCGTCAAATTTTATTTTTAGCGGTCAATGTTTTCTAAATTTAACTGTGGGTGATATTGTACCCTCTATTAAAGTTTCAGAGCGACATTACTTTCAAAAAAAGTTTAGAATATCAAACCCGTCTCACGAAAAAGTTCTTGACGTATCCTTAAGCTGGTGGCTCAAAATTTGCAAAGCCTCTTAGATCATATTTCCACGTAGGTTGTGTGGAATGGCTCTTCATGTCTATGTTGGGCTCACTAACTAATTTTATATATATATATATATAAAGCTGAAAATAAAGTAATAGTTCTCTAAAGTTTTCACTATAGAAAACTCCAGTTTAGGATGCTTGAAGTTTTCACTTTAAGGTCCTGTTTGCAGCTAAACCAGTCATTCAAGTTTGGTGCGGCCCTTTGTTGATTGTCGAAATGTTCCATTTTTTGCTATTGATGCTCCAAAGTGATCCTTTGATTATATCTACTGAAAAAAATGGTAAACTAATGTAATTTATATGACACAATGAATAGAACCAAAAACCACACACTTGTTTGTATGCGATTAAGATATATTTAACACCCAATATATATCAGACATAGCAGTAATGAAGGAGGGAAATGAAATGAAATTCTCAGAAGGAAAAATCAGAAGTTTGTCCAAATGAAGTTTTACAGTAAGCAATAGCAGCCTGAATGGAATTATCAGAGCTACTACAAGTGAAAGAAAAGCCTTCATGAATTGGTGAATTGTGACAAGAAGACACAGTGGAGCAACTTTTCCTCTTATTGGTACCAATAGAACTGAACATGCCTTTAAGTGCACTCAAATCAATCTCCACCACTGACCTATTCCATGATGATCTTCTGCTGGTATTGCTTCTGAAAGATCCCGCATTCCTCCCTGTGGCTTCTTCTTCTTGTGATGATGAGGGATTATTATTAATCACCATGTTCTTGCTCTTCTTCTGATGATGATGGTGATGATGATAGCACGGTAGAATATTGTTTCTGTAATATTTTCTGCTGTTTCCTTTACTGATGATGGTGTCTTGGCATGGTGGTCTTGGTGGCTTCACAAGGGATGATATCAGTGTTGGCAGTCTTATGCCTCGAAACTTTATCAGAATCTTCATTATAATCCCACAGTTTCTTCGTCTTGTCATGCTTCCTTCTTTCCTGGTACGGTGACATGCAAATTCAATAGGACTATACTCTTAATTTCTCATTCAATCTTTAAATATAAGATCATTGTTATGATTCATGAATCTCACATGGAGAAGCCTCTTAAGAAAAGTGAGTTTATAAATTCAAGGGATTTTTTTCAAATGAACTTTTCCTTTAAACTCATGCTCTTCCCATAACCTACATCTCAACTTCCCCCCCCCCCCCTTTCTTCTCTTCTCTCGCTCAAAAAACCAACTTGAAGCTCTATATAATTATATAAGGGGAAATTAGGGCTAAGTCATGGAGCTTATATTGAAGCCATTACCACTTTTCTTCTAAAAAAAAAAAACAAATCTGACCTAACACAAATAAATTAGGTAGTGTTTTTTTTTTTTGTTTTAGAATTAAAAAAATTTTCAAGATTAATACAGTTTATGTCCAATTTACTCTCATCCCTAAAACTTTGTTATATAAGAATATATTGATATAATATGTGTAAGAAATATTTAATATAAAAATAATCTCTTGAATGTGTGATTTTATGACTAATCCTTTCATCAAAATATCTTTTTCTATGTATTAAACACTTTTCATAAAATTTAGGTTCTATAATAATGTTTTCGATATATTTTTTTTAAATATGCAATAAAAGTATACAACCTTAAAAATGGCATGAAACATTTACATGCATATTTTTAAACCATGGTAATGGCAAGAAAAGAATACAAGAGCTTGCTTCTACATGAACACCAAGACAGTTTCTTTTAGACGTCATCATATCCTTACCAGAATGGCACAAAAAAGATTGGGAAAATAGAAAATACTTGTATGATTAAAAATACAAAGGGTAAATGTTTATTGGCTTTTGAAGGATTTTTTTAAGAAACACCTAACATCCAAAACAATTGGCCAGAGTAATTTTGCTCTTAAAACAATTGTCCTTGCCCATTAACAGTTAACATTGGAATCCCCAAATAGCATTTTCTAACAATAAACATTGGAAATTTGATGGTAAGGATAACAATGTTCTATTTTAATTACTTTAAAGAAAAACTTATTTCAACCAATAGTTTAAGATATTAGGTAATTCTCAAAAAATACTTTTAAGACAAAAATGCACTTTTATCTAACAAGGAAAAAAACCTAAAAGGTCATGGGTTAGTTTGGAAAATAATTATGGGAGCATTTCTATAAAGATTCCTTGACTATACTTAATTATATTCAAAGCACCTAAATTTTTAAAATTTCACAGTTGTCTAGGAGTACTAATTTAATATTAAATTTATGAAAAAAATGAAAAAATTACCTTTTTTTAAATTAATATAAGAATTTTTCTACTTCACTTGTTTTTTTGCTTACTGAATATTGTTAATTATCCTACTTCATTTGTTTATTTTTCTAGAATGAAATCAAGTAAATGAACAATATATAGTATATGAATCAACAAGTTATCTTCCAATGATTTAAATATCTAAAATAAAAACAAGTTAAGTATAGCAATTAACAAGTAAAATAGGAAAGTTCTAATATTAATTTAAAGGAGGGGCAATATTATCATTTGTCTTAAAATTTTAATATCAAATCAATACCTTAAATTATAGTAAAATTTAAAAATTTAGGGACTTCAAATATAAATAAATTTGGTAAATGGTCTTTCATTTAAATTCTCCCTATGATTATCGGTCAGCGTCAGACTCACATGAGGCTAGTTTACTACTGCTCCTTTTTATACGCAGGTCATCTTATAGACAACAGATATATAAGAGTAATTTGTACAAGTTAACTTGCTTAAAAAAATTATTATTAATTACTTTTCATAATTTTTATTAGCAAAGTAAAATTTTACATTTGAGATAAAAATATTTTAAAGATGATGCATTTAATAAAGATGAATTGAGAATTTTTTAAAAATAATAATAATTTAATTATTTCTCCAAATTTCGGTGGTTTGAAATAATTTATATACTCCCTCTAATCTGATTTATAAGTTAACTCTTTGAAATTAAAAAAAATTATAACCTTTATTAATTTTATTTAAAAATTTAATAAGTTTTCACATTTATTCCTCTCTTAAATATGCATACTCTCTAAGCATAAAAATACTCTAGTAGTTAATAAATACTTATCATTTAATGGCAATAAATTAAAAGATAAAAATAACCACAAAATCATAAAAATATTTTATAAATAAGATCAAAATAGATACTTCATGTCTTATATTTTATACTCCCTCTCATTCTATTTATATAGCATAGAGATAATTTTTTTAATTTTATTTATAATCTATTTTATTAAATTTTCATCATAAATTTTTTCATTTGTCCTCTAGTGAGTGCTGAAAAGAAAAAATATATTATTAGAGTATGATTATTTAATAGGAATAAAGTTAAAAAATTATTAAATTTTAGATTAAATTAATAAATTGTAATTTTTTTTATTTTGATAAAACATGTTAACATCGATAAATAAAATCAGAAAACTAAATAGAAAGCAGGAGAGGAGCATATGTAACTCGGTAACTGAAAATAGCAACGGAGAAAACTATGTACTAGCTACCTTGTATGGGCGGAGCGCTGGTCGATGTTATTCGAGGAGTCAAAAGGCATGGTTGCACTTGTTTGTAGAGTTATGCTTGCATGGTCTGATGAACGCTTTTCCCAGAAATCAACCTTGAAATTAGATCGCCGATCAAATGCTACTCCGAATTTGACTCTGCGTTGATGATGATGATCATCATCATCACTTTGAGTAACTGAATCTGCAGAAGCAGTAAGAGAAGGTGGACCTGAAGCTGAAGCTGAAGCTGATGGATCAACCCTGGTCTCACCATGTTCCTCAGAGGAATCAACGTCGACAACACACTGATGAACATAGGGGAGCGGAATCGAGGAAGAAATAGAAATGCGCAGTTCATCGTACTCCTTCATGATCTTGTCGTCTTCTTCCTCGGAACTCCCACATGTTGATGTCGGCACCACCACTGCACAAGAATCCAGCTCTATTTCGATGTACGAATCATCATTCTCTGTCAAACTGTCACGCACGTCCTCTTCTCTGCCATCCTCCATGATACCTTCCTAGCTTGCTTAATTGCTAATTTGCTATATATATATATATATATATATATGTAAACTCTCTCTCACACACAGACACAGACACACAGACACAGGCACTCACGGTTGTGATCAGTTGTGAGCATATATTCGTACTGTTGAGCCACGGGATGTGATGATCTGCAGAATTTTGGATGAGTGTTTTTGGGGTTGATTTGAATATGATTTTATGTTCTATTAAATTGGATGCTGATGGATGCGTTTCCCTGAAATCAGGTGTGATGGTTTTGTTTTGAAGTAAATAGGAGAATAATTATATATAGGGACAAGAAAAAGATATGGCTTAATTTTCCAGGAAAGCTGCAATGGAACTAATTAGGATCCAATCTAATAATGCAAAGGAGATTACATTAAAAGATTTAGATTCAATGACTAGTTTAAATATACTAACTTAATGAATATCTCATGGACTATAATGAAAATGGTTTGTTTCAATTGAATCACTGTCAAACATTTCAGTTTTATAAAATTTTCAAAGAGGATGTTATAAATAAATTTTAAATTTTATCGTACAAAGTAGGAGTGTTTATGGAATAAAATTGAATCTGGACACCCTTGTCCCATCCCGTCTCGTCTTGTTAAGAATCGGGATGGGATTAAAACGCCCTACCATCTTGATAAATCGGACAATATTAGAAAAAAATTTGAATAATAACATTTATTAAAATTTTAAATTATATAATTTATTAAGTTTATAATCAAAACAATACAGGTACATAAATTACAACAATTTAAAATTAATTATTGAATTATAATAATCACAACTACACATTATAATATCAATTACAAGTGATCTCTAGATTGTAAGAGTAACAATAATAAACAATTCAAATACAACATTAAATTATTATTTTTTTTACTTTAGTTGAGATGTGCTAAGCTAATTACTGTTCCAATAATAAAACAAAAAATAGATATAAATAAAAGTTATTAAATAAATAGATATAAAAATAAATTATATTAATATATTATAAAAAAAGATATCGCCCTATTTACTATATATCATTAAAATTATCGATACAAAAAATTTTAGTTTTATATGAGAATTGCAAGTATTAAAATTATAATTAATATAATTAATATAAGTATAAATTATATTAATATAATTAATATATTTAATGTATATTTTTAAAATAAAAAATAATATATATAATATTCGGGACAGGATAGGATGAGACGTCCTGATAGTAATCTCGTGTCCCGTCTCGTCCTTTCCTGAGTCCCTTTTCTGTCACGTCTCATAAAGTTTCATCCCGATTATTTTTGAGACAGAACAAGATTCATCATGATATAATTGAAATGATATTAGATTAATTGGGATTGATACAAACTGAACAGTCGCATAATTTATTTTTATGATCATAAGGATTGTTTTAAATTTTTAAATATTATATATAATTGTTTGGTGATGATTTGATTGATACTTGTGGAATTGCGACGTGTCTCCTACTGCTTAATTGATGCAACTCACCACATTCATCATTGGTCTGTATTCCCCGGATTTCTTCGTCCGTCTGCTTGTTTGTTTTACTCTTGATCAGTTATTGTTGATTAGGAAAATAACTCAGATCCCACTCAAAAAAATTGATTACGAAAAAAAAAAGTCTCATAAAATTATAAAATTATTTTAAAATCTCATTAATTATTCAAGTGCTCAGTATTTTAAAACATTTTTAATTTAATTTCACTTAGACTAAGTTAATTAATAGTTTTTAGAATTGCACACTTTTCATATATTTATCAGGTTAGGTTGTCTTAATTAGAAAATTTGATTAATTACATCCCAATTAAAGATTTTTTTAGAAAATAAATTATTAATTGTATTTTCAAAGACAAAAGATGTCTAATATTTTTCAACATAATACTTTGAAAAAAATTCTTATAATATTGAATTGAAGAGCATTTGTAAATGGAGTTGTTCAATTGATAACTAATTAGCACTAATTAATAACTATATCCAACAACAATTGACAATTTCAATAAAAAAAAAACATGGGACTCTAGAATAAGTTTGTGATTTCAAGAGACTTTTTATAGTTATATTTCTTGTGCCGGACTTGAAAATGATTTTTTATTCTTTATTGTTTGTAATTTTTGTATTTTTCAAAAGTGTTATATTGTTAGAGACAATCTTGTCCCAGCTTTGGGGTATTATTTGTAATTTAAGTTTAAATAATATTTATTAATGCAATTACGGGCTAGGCCCATGGCTTTGGACCTGGGCCTAATATTACAGTTAAGCGCGGCCCAATAAGTTTTAATTTCTAAAAGTCAGGGGATGGCTAAACGCAAGGCCCATTCATTTTGATGTATTGGAAAGATTTTTTAGGGAATTGGAATGCGGAAAGGAAAAGGAATTAATCATTGAAAGTTTTTCTTTTGTATATTAAAATGATAGAACGAATCTTTGTACCAAGAACAAAACGATGGAATGAATCTTCGAAATGTAACAACATGAGAATATCACTGAAAGTAAAAATTACTGAAAATTAAAGGAGAGGAAATAAATAATAGAGGAGGGGACAGAAGGGAGAATTTGGACTCTTTGGTCTGTGGGAATAAAAATGAAAAGGAGAATATAATGAAGAAAGTGAATAATTAAATGTGGAAACTCGTATGCATCCATTGTGGAAAAAACTCATAATAAAAAATTATTATTATTAAATAACAATTAACCTGACACAATACATGTACCTATTACATTTATTGATTGTTGTGTGATGGTAAAATATTACCTTAACTTTTTTTATTACTCCCTGCATCCCATTCCATTTTCAAACATATATTTTTGTAAAGACTTGATTTTTCTCTCTAGTTAATAGAGATTACAATAAAGTTGTGAGCTTTCTTTCAAGTGATGCTCAAAGGAAGATGGGGTATGGTGTTATCACCTCCATCTATCTTAGCTCAGGTGTTGAATCTTAATAAAGTTGCAACTTTAATTTTTTTTGTTAATAATAATAATGCTGGTTTGTTTAGAATGGGAATTGGTTAATTGCTTTGTTTCTTTGCCTTTTTATTTTTTTGTTTGAATTGGTTATTGTGTTTGGTTTTTTGGTGAGTTTTTTTTTTTTGTGTGATAGGTTTTATTTGTAGGTTTTTTGTAGTGTTTTTTTGGTTTCAGCTATTAGTGTGTGTACTCTAATATTTTTTTGAAGTGATTTGATATTCTAAAATATAAGATGTTTTGAAAAAAAAATTACTGATGATAAAATAATTATCTAACATTATTTCATTCATTCATAAATAAATTTATTTCCCTCTCCCTTAACAATGAGGAATATTTTAAAAAATTTATAAAAAAATAATATTATCAAATGTAGTTAATGAATTTTATTAATATGTATAATTTTACTAAAAGAAATACATTATTAATTGGGACGGGGCAATACTAATCAAACAAGACCAAAAGGAAAAGAAGGAGATATGAACAGAGGTTGGAGAGAAATAGAATGACACAAGCGAAACAAAATATTTATGTAATTTGTAGATGGGTGACAAATCAATATAAAATATCGAGAATATAGAAGATTGCACTATTTACAGATTTAGAATGATATGTCATTTTTTTTAAAAAAAATTCAATTTTGCTACAAATATAAAAATGTTTTTGTTTTTGGTGAAATTAAAAACCCACTTTAATTGGTCATGAACATGGTGGGGGTGGAGGGGTTTGGATCGGCTTGAAGAAGAAGTGTTGAGGAGAGGATATTTTTCCGTTGATCACATGGTGGGATCTTGAGTATTGTATCTTGAAACTGGTAGAGAGAATATAATGACACAGTTGGACACGAATCAAATGATTTTTTGTCAATTAATGCTTAATAACAATGGTAATTCATAGTACATGAATTTTAAAAATAATTTTTCATTTAAAATAATTCATTTTTATAACAAACAAATTTGTATATTAATTTAAAAATTACAAGGAAATTAAAAATATCTTGAGAAAATAAACCATACAAAAAGTAATAAATAATCTATCTTTGTTTGTTTATTAATTTATTCTTAGTATTTTTCAATGTTTTTATAACCGAACCGGATATTAAATCAAAAAGGTTAGTGGTTCACGATTCTTATAATCTAACTGGTTGGACCAATGGTCAAACTGCTTATATAATAATTAAATCAAAAAATTACATATCTACACAATAATATAAAAATAAGAAATAAATATGAAATTATCACTTAACTTAAAAATAAAATTAAATATTTTAAATTTATCATGACTTAATAAATCACATAATGTAAAACAACATCAAATGATTAAAAAATTAGTTATTTTAAAAAAAATTGATAAAAAAAGAAGAAGAGTGGGTTTTTTTTAACAGTCCGATTTTTAAAAATTGAATCAAATTCACAACTTGATATTGGTTCTTAATCCGATCGCTGGTCCATAGTAACTTAACCCGGCTCAACTTTTCATACAGTTTTTTCATGTTGAGCAGCTAAAATCTAGACAAGTCAATGGTTTGACCAATTCGATCATCTGATTCGATCTAGTTTTTTAATCATTAGTATTTTTTAGGTTAAACTTCTGCTAGTATTTTTTTTTTTGAATTAGATTATGTGGTATTTTAGGCTTACTCTACTCTATGGATTGAGTCAGATAGAATCATAAGAGACAATATAACTCTTACACTAAATATTTAATGCAGTTGTACTTTGTTAATATTTTTTTTTACAGTAAAATATGAATATCATTAACTCAAGGAAACGAAAGTTTCGAAACTGTACACGGAGAAACAAGAAAAAGTCACAGCAAAGAAGCCAACAACTACATCAGAGTACTTTGTTAATATTTTTATGTCACTCGTTGGCACTCTATTTGATACGATTAGGATGCTCCCTCTTCTATCAACCAAGTCATCAACATGTGTGTGTATATATATAAGATATTATTATTATTATTAAACCAGTTGTTAAAAAAAAAAAAATCAATCCTCTGCTTTTGCTTTTCCAATAAAAAATGCAACAAGCCTTGGAAGACAAGTAAAACCTAAACTATCTCAAAATCTATCCAATCTCATATCTCACTGTGCTTTTGCTATACACTTATTTGTTAAACTTTTTTTAATAAAAAAAAAGTGTGAAAACTTTTTTTTTGGACCAGACACTAATTGTAAAGGCTTTGATAACCTGGTTTAAAAAAACAACAGCTTTTTTTTTTTCTTAGCTTTTGTTTTGCGGAAATAAGCAAACCTTTGATAGCAAATTACTCTTTCTATCTCAAATTATAAAATAATTTTAAATAAAATTTTACATATCAATAAATTTTATAAATACATTTAACAATTTTATTTTTTAAAAATAAAAATATAAATTTTTTAAAATACTCATTATTTAATATATTGAAAAGAGGAGTGATAAAAATTAATTATAAAAAAGGATAATATTAAAATTAATATATTTAATAAAATATTAATTTATTTAAAATATATTATATTTTGAATTGAAAAAATTTTTTTAAAAATATTTTATAATTTGAGACGAAGGAAGGAAATGAAAATTTAAACTTTTTAAAAGTTTGAGCTTAAGCCCTTACTCCAAAAGATCTATGCTGGATTTTAGGAAGAAGCACTATTTTCTACGGTGAACTTGTGAAGTAAAAATCGACAAAGATTCAATCTAAATTTAAATTTAAAAAATATTAAATACATGTAATAAACCAAGGAAAAACTTATCAAGTAAAAGTGTGAACAAAGAATTTTACCAAAAGAAAGAAGGAAAGAGAAAACACTCAGGAAACTTTACTCGGTAAAAAAAAAAGTGAAAACGGAAAACTGCGAAAGGAGTGAAAATGAGAGGCAGTAATGTGATGACACGTGGAGATTACCTTTTTTAACATTTTAAGGACTATATATAGTGTTTATGCTAGTTTGGCGCTCAGTGGTACTCTCCCGAATCGACTCGATACGCATCCCCTTCCCTCCTCCTTCCTCTGATCTACCGCATCGCGCCGCCGACGCCGACGCCGACGCCTCCATTGCGGCAGACTCTTTCTCAGGTTCTCTCTTTTTCATTCTTCTCCCTTTTTATCGTTGTTCTGATAGTCAAATCTGAAATACTCGCTACTTTATGCTGCAATTATTCCTTCATTTTCTTGAACATATAATAAATACTCGATGTTGTAGATTGTAGGCTTCGTGAGGGGTTTTCTTCGGGAATTTTCTTCATTTATATCTCAGATCTCTATTCTTCTTTTCAAATATTTTGATGCTTTCGAAACAGTGTTCTTTGAAGTGTGGAATTTTTTAGGCGGTAAATTAGGGTTTTGTTTTCCCCTCTTTAGGCTTTTACATTTATTCTTCCCCTGTTGAACGGTTTTCTATTTTCATTTCTGTTGCAATTTCGTGCCCTTTTTTTTTTCCTTGTGCTTTCGACTTTCTTTGAGAAGCGTATGGAGAGCTAATTTAGCTGAGCCGTTTTTTTTTTTTAAGACACTTGACGGAACTGCATTTGCTGTCGCTTCTTTCGCGCTCATGGATTCTGGAGGTTGCAATAAACTGTGCGACAAAGCCAAGGACTCGTGTCTTAGATCTTCGCAGAAACTGAACGAGAACATTATTGTAATGGGAATCAACAAGGATGTTCCTGAGCTGCCAGAGGCTGCTGATTGCAACGGTTCTCTAGTGCCTATAACTCCTGATGTAGACAGAGAAAATGGGGATTTTCGCATTGATCTTCAATCCCCTCTCACGGTGATCAAGAAACCATTTAAATTATCTGATATTGATTCTAACTGCAAAGAAAATGGCTGTAAGGTTACTCTTGTTGATAATGGTAGCCCTAAAACCCCTGAGGATGGTGTTTTCGATCCCTTTGCTCCTGGGCCTGAAATCATGGCACGTGCACCGCTGTGCAAAAAGTATGCTAACGATTTAAGGAGCTGCGTAGCTCGACGACTCAACTTTAACCCATCTGCTGATGCTGTTCAGCACAAGAGTTTTGGCTATGATGAAGAATCTCTTTCAGATCAAGAGATGTTTGAATCAGTGTATGAGAATCTCTTGGAAGCTATTTTATCAACGCAGGCTGAGTCAATTCTTGCTGAAATACCTGATGTAGCATATGATCCAGAAGATTGTAAAACACCTCCTTCAGCAATCAGGCTCAATGGAATTGCTGATACTTGCCCTGGTGCACCTGTGAAACCAGGGAATAAACAGAGGATCATTCCCGTTGGGCTACGCAGGAAGCTTGAATTTTGATTCAAGGGAGTCTGATTGATTTATATAAACAAAGAAAATGGCAGCTCAAACTGTGGTGATTAAATTTTGAGCGGCAGGCAGATTTTGAAATAGCTGATGTTACGTGTATCTGAGTTATGATTCGACATTGTATTTTTACATGGAAAAACTGAAACTGACCAAGGTGATAGTGTAGTTGTAGCGGTAACGTTGTATAGTTAATCCTCAACGTTAGTATTTTAACATTGAAATTTTTCCCTGACATTTCTCTTAGTAGATGAGTTGTTGAGCTATCTAATATGTTTTTCCCTTTGCTTTTCTTTTGCATAAACTCTTTAACCAGGTTACCCATGTTATTTATGTTGATTGGTACTTTTCAAGGGTTGTATTTTCCCTCCTGTTTGTCCATTTTCCATATACATGTAGTTTATCAGAATTTCTAAGTCGAGATGTGCCTATTTGTTGTGATCCAGTGAAGAATTTTTCGGACGACAGAATTTCATTTTTGTGTAGTCTTGGCTATTGGCCTTTCTTCTTAATTGCCCTCATGAGGAGCGTTGTCTTGTCTTGTTTGAAACCTATTTAGAGAATTAGAGAACGAGCAAATAATTATATTCTACGAGTTGAGCCACTCATTTCTCCATATTTTGAAACTAAAAAAAAGCGCACTGGAAGAAAAACTCCGTGCGCCAACGGTTCATGTAAGGTTCTATTTCCGATTTGGTTGTGAGTAGTTTGCCATCCTTGCGGCTTATGTCAGACTAGGCGATACTCATAATTAATTGGTTACACACGCACACACTGTAAAAATATCGGACACAATCTTTTTTTGAGGAAGATTTTCAATGGGCATATAATCACACTGTTAAAAACCAGGTCAACTTTTCTGGTTAAAATGTTAAACTGTTGAGCCAATAATTTGCCTAATTTAATGAAAAGTTTTGTTCATAATTAATTTGGTCTCATTTTGATGAAAATTTTAGCTACTAAGTACTAACCATGGTTTGCAAACTCAAACTAGATTTACTTGTCAAACTGACAAACTAATCATATATTTAATCTGATTTGGTGATTTTTTTAAAGGACAATCAACCTGAAGTTAATTCAGGTGACTTAGGAAAAACCCTAACTAACCCGCTCAACCCCACAAGTTTAGCGGGTTGAGCAGGTTACTCAAAAAGAAAAAAAATACAAAAATAATTAGACATCATGTGTCGATCTTATTGAAACTTCACATCTTCCCCTCTCGTTCTTGGTGTTCTTTCCTTCCTTCAACCTTCATCTTTCTATGCGGCATTCTCATCTTCATCTTTCATCAACCTTTGGTGTTCTCATATGTGACTATGCTATTTGGTTTTCTTGGCGTTCTCATCTGCAACTCAGCTATTTGGTTATCTTCTCTTCTCAGCGTTTGAAGGAAGAAGGGAAATGAAATGGCATTTGAAGAAACTAAGAAAGAGAGAATGAGATGAAGGAAGAAGAGCAAGGGAGGGAAGAGACAAAGAGCAACAAAGAAAGATAAAAAAGATAAAAGAAAGAGTAAGGGGTGATGGTGACTTTTTAAGAGATGGCTTATCAAGGTAGTGAAAATAAATAAGATAGAAAAAGAAGAATGAGGGAAGAGTGAACGCCAAAGAAAAAGAAAAAGAAGGGGAGACAGAGTGGTTGCTTCTCAAGAGATGTGGTGTAAAATATAAGAAATTGTGATTGCAAACTTTTTTTTTTTTTGAATTATACTGAAAGTAAAGCTACATAATGTCATAGCTCATTTGAAGGGTTAATCCCTCATTATCCACCAAGCCTATAATTGGGATTGGTGGATGATTAATTGCAAACTTGGAAACGACAAACATGAGTGGAAAAAATGAGAGAAAAAATAAAAAATAAAAATAAATTAATAGTAATAATGAGTAAAATAACTTATCATTATTATTTATTATCAATTATATTATTTTATTATAATTGATTTGATCTTTAATTCGACCTGAATTAAATTCCTAACCTTTAACCCAATGCCTTAGTCAGTTCAGTAAACAATTCAATTTTTAGTACTTTAGTGCTGGCTCTTAAACTTTGCTTTAACTTGCTGATGGAACAGTCCCATTTTAGTACGTTGGCGTATATCGATTGTTTACCTAGAAAATGATTGAATGAAGCGGCCAAATGGATGGATAATCGATGAATAGAAATTACAGATACGGTCAGTAAAGTCTGTATGTGTTTATCATTATATGTATAGAACTCCACAACAGCACATATCGTCATAATCCTACATATGGCTAACTTTTTACTTACAACAACGGCACACAAGGCTCAAATCACAACCATATCTCACGTCCCAAAAAAAAAAAAAAAATTACAACTACACCCAACCTTCACAGAGAATCAACTAGTATATGACAGATCCAAAAAATTCTCTGTGTTTCATTCAAAACTTATTCTTATTTTTGCAAGATTGGGATTTAATCTTCCTGTTGGACATGTCAATAGTGAACTGACATTCCGACAACGCAACACCATGTCTTTTAATGAATCCAAGGACGGTGACTCTGCCTGGAATCCGTGTAGATGCTTCCATAGATAGTTCCCCACTCATTAATTCTCCGATCAAACTGGTGACTTCCGATGCAAGCCTGTCCACCTGCAGTGTCAGCCGGCTAGAAAGCACGGCGGACCCCTTCGCCGGAAGCTTGCCGGGGTAGATGTTAGTCTCTCCGATCTGATGACCCTTGTAAAACAGTAGGCTCTTGCCCAGTTCATGCTTGAAACTGGCATGGTTTGGATTATGAACCAGAAGATTGATATCAAGAGTGAGATTGAGATGGACCTGAATTGCAGGGAAAGAGACGCTTGGTGATACACCGTCCAGAGAAGCTGACACAAGTTGGACTGTTGGGTTCTTGGGCTTGAACACAGTCAAGGCCAGAACCAGAGCCACAATAAAGACCAGTATCAGAAACAGCGTGAGTAAACCTAGAAGGAGACGACATCGTCGTCTTCTCTTGATTCTAGAGACCATGAACTGGTCTTGGTGGTTCTGTGTGGTTGTTGACTCTTTCATGGTGTCTGATTGATTGAGAGAGAGATTATTGGGAAGCTGAGAATCAAAAACCAGAGCTTACAAGTTATAACAAGGCACTGGCCACAATAATGAAGTTGAGAGGATTAAGATGGTTGGTAGTTGGAAGGTGAGGGTCCTCCCATTAATGCCGCTCCGTGTCTCAACAGTTACTTAACCCTTTTTTCCTTTCCTTTGGGTTTCTGTGAGTTATTTTAAGGGTTGAATTTGTTGTAGACGCCTCCCCTACTAAATGTTGATGCATTGAACTATAGAAGCAACTGTATGGTACTGTTCATATAAATCTGACCCTTCTAAACGAGAGAGATCCAGGCTTTGAAGTGCCTAAAACAGTAAAAGTCTAAATTATAGTTTAGGATAGGTTAGGAGCACATGAGATTCTATGCAATGTCTCTTTAACTTTAAAAAATAGGGTAATTAACTTCATCGATAACAAAAATCAATTTTAACCTTAATTGATTAAAAAATAATTTCAGAAATTTTAAAACAATGGACTCATAAAATTTTCTTGATCTTTTTTTATATTTTTTTGAATTTTTTACTGTAATTTTGTGGTCATTTTGTTGTAATTTTTAAGGTTTTTTTGTCATTTTTAATTAATTAATAGTTAAAATTAAGTTTTATCAATGATAATAATAAAATTATACTATTTTCAAAAGTCAAAAAAAACATTACACCAAACATGAATTTAGGGCTTGTAAAATTATAGTTGGGAAAATACTAATGAAGGACCATTGGAAAAAATTTATTTTAATCAATGACTAGTTGTTGTTAAAAATTAAATGGACATTTATTGATAAAAAATTAATTCGAATTGACAAGTATTCATTCAAATTTTAATAATAAGTAATTCTTAACTAATATAAATTTTCTTTAACGATCCTTAATTGATATTTTCTCATTATAGTTTAAGGGCTAATTTGCTCTTTTATCCTTTTGAATTTTGGTAATTCTTTTGTCATATGTTTGAAAATATAACACATTTTGAAACAAGTGATATTTTCATATTTATTTATGATTAAGTTACCTCAATAAATAAGGATGGATATGAACAAAATTGGTAACTTTGTATGGTGTTAATTGTTTTTTTGGGATAAAAGTTAGTTAAATATACCTTATAATTTTTAAGGGATGGAATAACTATCATGTAAATATTGGTAAGATAATTTGTTAAAAATGACTTAACTTCTTAAATTTGTTTCAAATTACAATTATTTTTTAGATTTCCCTGAATTATATTACTTACATTTCAGGATACTAGAAAATTTAATTATCCTTATTTAATTACTATTTAATTATTCAAACGTCGTGTAACATGGCTGAAATTAGGAAAAACTCAACTCAATGTGACCCATATGCCACACGAGGAGAGAGAGAACATATATGTACTCCTGCCATTATTAAGTATAAGCAAATTTTACCGATTCAGATACTTTCGAAAAAAAAATTGATTAATCTTAATAATATTATATAAAGCCGTTCACTACAGAAAATTTGGCAATGGTGTGATGTAGACTGACAAGTCTGGGTTACTCATTCACTTAAGAAGGGGAATAGTTGTGTGGATGCTTTAATCTTAGCAGTGGTATGCAGGTTTGGGACAGAGTAGGGGGTATGTTGCTCCTGGTTATTTGAGTTTGTATCTTCATGTATCCAAATGGGAGATTTAACCTTAGTCCAAATCTAAATTTTCATTACCTCCAACATAATATTAAAATTAAAAAAATGATAATAAAATTCTCTTGAATTATATTAATGACAATCTAGCTCATTAAAATACCATAATTTTACTAAAGTTTTTAAGGACTTTTTTATTAATAAATTTTAAATTAAAATAATCATTTTATCTTTATTAACAAGTTGTGATTTTTTTTTCAATTCTTACGATTCTTTGAATAAAAGTTATGATTATTTAAACAAAAGTTGTGACTGCAGTTTGTTATTTTGAGAACATATTTTTTAATAATAAAAATTACACTTAATAAATTGTGATTTCTTGTTGAATGTTTGTAATTCACGGAACAAAAATTGTTGTTAGGGCTTGTTTTTTACTAATAAAAATTATAGTTGACAAGTTATGATTTTTTGTTTAACTCTTGTAATTAACAAAAAAAAAATTGTGATTCTTTAGATAAAAATTTTGATTAGGGTTTATTATTTTCAATAATAATAAAATAATTTTTTTTTAAAATTTAATGATATAGAGGTTCTTAGGGACTTTATTGAAATTATGGCATCTTGAGAGATTAAATTATTATTTATATAATTTTAAAAAATTTTATTGTCATTTTCTCTTAAAATAATTAATATTTGATTTAACATAATGTTAATGCGCAGTAAAAATAAATGAGGTCCTATTTTTTTCCGAAGGAAATAAAATTGATTACAGAAACATCAACCATTTAAGTATATGTCAAAGCAAGCAAATCAAAACAGAAAAAATGTAGGAAACAATTCCAGCATAGCTACAGGGAATGGAGGCCTTGAAACCCAATTTGAGAAGCACATCCCTGTAAACGAAGCTTAAGCAACTCAAGCTACCACATAATAAAAAGTTTTAGATATCCATTGAAAGCAACTACACTCTCTAATTTTATTTATAAATTACTTTTATTAATCTTTTCATACTAATATAACAAGTATAATTAATTATTATAATGTTATTTTTCAGTATTTTTCTCTCCTGCTTACAGAGATGGGAACTGTACAGTGAAAAAAGACAAAAAGTTGATAATGAATAAGGATCAATTTTTGGAAGAGAAGCCAAAATGAACCAAAAAAGAAAGTTACAGAAGTGAAAAAAAAAAAAGAGTATTTTGAGAATTTTGTTTTAAAGTGCAGAGTAAACATCAATCAATAAGACCAAATTTAACTTTTAAAATGCGTCCCATAAAATAGGCCGGAGGGAGTACTGCTTAGTGGTTGACCAATAGTAAAGATAAAATCCATAATGATTGAACAATCCCAGCTAGGGTGGGGAACTTCACATTTGAGAGTACCTAAACCAACGGGAAGGAGTCAACATTAGACCAAATATCATATCAAACTTTTGTAGTGATAGAAGCCAGAAATATCTAGAATTCATCATTGCTTCTGAACCAGTAAGTCAATCTCTTGCTGGAACCCATCTCTTATCTATCCCCAGCAACAATCAGAACAACCTTCTTACAAATCTTGGATAAAAGAGACCACTATGATCCAAATAAAATATCAAGTTAAAGGATCAACAACAGTCACAATAAAACCCCAAAAATATGTAAAATGTTACCAAGTTCACACCCTGTTCCCAATAGTACAGAATCGAATCTAGGCGATGGAATGACAGCCAACAGACGTCAAAAAAGACTATAGGAAAATACCAAGTAAGGCCATACAAAGCTAGAGTGTGAATGAGCACATAGAAAGATAGTACCATTTCTAGAGTCAAATACTTAAATGAGTTCCTAATTTAAACAATAAAATCGCTACCACTCTGCATACTCAACGACAAACTCAGCATTAGAATAAGTCTTAGTACCACTACCATGACAACCAAACCAGTGAGAGCCAGGGTCAGACTTGTAGTCCAAGGAATAACGGACCCAGAAAGACAAATCACGTAAAGCAGATTCTGGAATGGCCAAGAAACAGAGTGTTACATCCAAGTGAGGTTGAATCCTTTTGTAATAATCACTGACTGCAAGTGACTTTAGTATTGAAACTTCATGAATAACACTGCTGCAACTTGCTTTTCCAACAATATCACTCTTGTGTAATATTACTTGCGTCAACAATGACCAGCGAGTCATCATGCTTGGAACTCTCGTGAATGTAGAACCATCACAACAGCAACAATAACGTTGTTCCACTTGGTTGACGTCCAATGTTGTCACCTCTTCATTATACTTAACGGATCTGGAGCTGAGATTTTGGGTATTACAGGGGCAACAGAGAGGACAGCAAACACCACACTTTTTTCTGCTACATCGTCATGTCTTGTCATGACATTCAAATCAAATTGAAAAACCGGGCCCCAAGGATAATAGTAAGCATAAAAAGGATCGTATGTGTAACGCTGCTTGAAATCGTCCTCAAACTCAATTGGACTCTCTAACCAGTGAAATGTCTTAGCAAATGGAAGAAAAGAAGCTAAGCTTTGAATCTCTGGGAATGGCATTACCATGTGTTTGAATCGAACACCGGATATGATCTTGTCGGAAATGAAGAGCTTGATTGTGACTTTGCTGAATCATAACTTGTGGAGATCCAAATAATTGTGCGCAGTCACTAGTCCTGAACTTGTACCTTTACCAGTGCCTCCAACTTTTATGTGCATTGGCCCATTTTGTTCTATGCATAAATGGCCAAGCTTGCCTGGGACAGTTGAAGAATGAATTTGACCCAAGTTCACACAACCACCAAGACTCATGAATTCAATCTTTGGGGCGTGACGCAGATCTGGGAATGCAGTGAGGTTTTGAGCCTGCTAGAATGATTTCCCTTAAATTTGGAAAATGCTGAAAAAAAAAAAGCTGTGGTAAATATAAAAGAAAAATTGATAAATAAATTTTGAGTCTCTCAAATTTGTTTTAGTTGTGAACTTTTCTTCAAATTTAATTTTGGGAGAATTACTATAAAATTTCACTCAACACAATTAACTACTCACAAGTCCATTGATAGCTGAACATCAATTGTCAATGGATCTAAAAGTAATTAATTATATTGAGTAAAACTTAAATGAAATTCTCCCTTCAATTTTTAACAATTTAGTTCCATATATTTTATTAAATTATAACTTTAGTCCCCCTCAAATTATCTTAATGTGTAAAGCATATTGATGATAAGTATATGTGATTAAATGAGAATAAATTAATCCTCAAATTAGTTTAAGTTTTATTAGTATAGTTTGTTGTGTTTTTTAAAATTTTTGAACCTATTTTTTTCATGCCTAAATAATTAAACTTTTTTAATAATGTATATGGTTGCCAACTCAATATTCTTTTATCTATATCGACAAATTTTAACAATGTCAATTTCTTCAAACAATAAAAATGAAATTAATGATTGAAATAAGGGAAAATGATAATAAAATTCCTTCAAAATATATAAATAATAATTTGGTCTCTCAAAATGTCATAATTTCTTAAAGTTCTTACAAACTTTTTTATCATTAATGAATTTAAATAAATTATCAAATTATCTTTGTTGAAAAATAAATAATTGACAAGTTTTGTTTAAATATTTACGATTTTTTTTATATTCGTAACAATGCAATAATAAATAAAGAATTTAATATGCAAAGTTGTGATTTATTGTTGCATTATTATGAATATGAGAAAAAAACTTGTGAATATTTAAACAAAACTTGTCAATTATTTATTTTCAACAAGGATAATTTATTAATTTATATAAATTTATTTATGATAGAAAAGTCTCTAGGACTTCAGAGAAATTATAATATTTTGAAGAGATCAAATTATCATTTGTATATTTTAAAGAGATTTTATTGTCATTTCCCTTTGAAATAAACATAAAGAACCAAATTGATGAAAATAAAATTTAGGGACCAAATTCGATAACTACACGTATTGTTTAATCATGAATCTCTCTCATGTCAACTAAAAATGTGAGATATCTAAATAAGTTAAAGTTCAAAGGGTGCTTAGAATCACCCCCATAAAAAAAAAAATCATGTTTAGGCATATGAAAAAGAATTTGGATCAAGTAAATGGTACAAATCCAATCTGACTTGGCATGGTAACACCATTGGTTTAATTGAACCACTATTAGAGATTTTATCATATATGACATTCAAAAGTTAAAGTATCAAATTTCAAATTTTGGAGGAACAACATGCATAAAAGGTGTTCTGATATGGGCACCAATCTTTTTGCTTATTGGATATCATGTGATAATTTTAACATTATGATTTTTGAAAACCTATCTCCCGATTGCAGAAACATCTTAGTTTTAGACATAAATGGATCTTAGTTCTTCTACACAGTTTTACTGTAACCTTGCATTTAAAGAAAAAGTTGTTCTTATTTTTTTGGGCAAAAAAAGGTGTTCTAATCATACAGGTTGTTTTGCATTTTTGGTGGAAAACATATCTTAATAATTTTTAAGTGTTAGATGAAATCTAATAGTTGTAATTAGGATATTCATTAAGTGAGCATATTTAGGCAACTCACTAAATTGAATTCAAATGTTTTAAAAAAATTGATGCATACCTGATCTCCACTCAAGAGTTTTTGGATATTACTATTAGGCATTGAAAGTTGAACAAGATTCTCCGCACAAAAATTTAATGGCACATATGGCAGTGGGTATTCTTCCCATTTTAGAAACCTTAGTTCTTCCGAAAGATAATTTAGATCTCCACAAATGTTCAACTTCAAAGGCTTTCTCCGATTAGATTTGTAAACTTTAAGGAATATTAAATTATGCATCTTTCCAAAATCACCGGCCCTCAATGTGATTCTTTTTATCTTGCTCGCATCTAATAACATGCATCGAATGTCCTCAATCCCCTAGTAATTAGTAGCAAATCAAGGGATAAACATAAGTACCATTACCTAAAAATGACAAAAATACTACAGAACAATTAAATATATATATATATATATATTATTTTAAGGAATAAACATAATTATCAAAACATGCAAATAAAACAGAAGAACTCCAAGATGAACATAAAAACATGTAGACAAACAAATATCACTAGGATTCCAGGAATATGATAATTAAGATGATAAAGATCAAAAAAGACGAAACAATACTTAATAATTAGATTAAATCATTTACCTTTTCACGAATGAAAAAATCATAAATGTCTTCGTGCCTCCAGAGTCTAACAGAGGCTCTAGGAATAGAGAATGACTGTTGTCTGGCAATTTGAAGGCCCATTTGCCATACAAGATGGTGCATCCCAATGCAGCCATTATCATTGAATGAAATGAGGGATCTTTCAGTAAGAACACTTATCTCAACATGTATAGAAGAGCCATATAATTGTCTTATAATGAGGTTCAAAAACTCACCTCCTTCCATGATAAAAAATACCAAGTCAAGAAACACATTATGTTGTATGTCATCAAGTCCATCAAAATTGAATTTCAAAACATCAACAATGTCCTTTGGAGGGGCTTGATTTAGTTTTTCCAATGCACTTTCCCACTCTTTCTTTTCTCTACCATATAGAAAACAACCCAACACAACCAAGGCCAATGGATTTTCTTCACAATAACGCACTACTGATTTTGATAGCTCTATATAGCCTTTACATGGCTCATTTTGCTTAAATGCTTTCAAACTAAAGAGAAAAAGGGCATCATGAAAATCCAATCTCGGAACATGATATCTTGAAAAAGCAGAAGCATTCTTAAGAACTTGCTTGTCTCTTGATGTGATGATAATTCTACTTCCTTCTCTAAACCAATCACATACTTTGTTTAAATCGTCAGCTATTATTGAATTCTCCACATCATCAAGTATAAGAAGAATCTTTTTGCGTTGAAGCCTAGTTTTCACAAAAATGGATTTTATGTCGTTGATGTTAATGTCATCATCTTTTAATAATTCTTTGAGGCAATTTTTCTGTAACTCATCCAAACTTATTCTTTCTAATTGCTCTTTGACATTTTCAATAAAGGAGAAAGCATCAAATTGAGCTTTCAACTCTCGAAATATAGCTTTGGCAAGTGTGGTTTTACCTGCACTACCCATGCCCCATATTCCTACAATGCGAGCCTCTTTTAAAAGTTTTTCAACATTTTCAATTTGATGAGCAATGCCAACAAGTCCTTCAAGATGAGATGATGATGACTTATAGTTCAACTTGCTCAAAATGTCTTTCACAATCTCTTCAACAAGTTTGAATTCAGGTCTATAACAAAAATGTGTGTCAGTTAAAAGAAAAGCCATATCAAATATAGGTAGGGGAAAAACTACTCCCTCCAATCCTTAATCTAATGCAAATTTAATTAACTCTACACTTATTAAGAAATGATAATTATATCCTTAAAATTGTTAAAAAAATACATAACTTCTAATTTTATCTTTTTTATAATTAATAACTATAATAAATTATTGTCTAGGAATTCAAACCATGCTAAATAAACAAGAGATAAAATTGAAAAAAAATAATTACTCTAATTTTGTGTTACATTAGGAATTAAAAAAAGTTTTCAGAGTTTTCATTTTATTAAGAACCAAAGGGAGTACAATATAATTTGATAGAAATATCCTAGAGATTAATTAAATAAATAACCAAAACCAACAACATATTAAAGAGAATATTTATGAAGCTACCTGATACTGTTGGAATCCCATCCAGAGAGACTTGTAGATTCGATCAAAGCATTTCTCCACTTTTGTAATTTTTTTTGGTTGTCTTTTGTATATTTAATGGATCTACGTTATAAAAAATAGGTGTCACAACCCTTCCAAATTTCTTCTTGCATTCTAGTATGTGAACAAGTTCATCCATACACCATGTTGAAGAACCATAATCCTCTGAGAAGATAATGATAGATATTTTTTATTCCTCAATTGTTCTCAAAAGAATTGATGAAATTTGTCCTCCTTTGCCAAGTTTATGATCCATAAAAGTGTGAATGCCTGCATTTCTAAGTTCTATGTAAAGATAACTTGCAAAATTATGGCGAGAGTCTTCCCCTCTGAAGCTAAGGAACACATCATACTTGGTAGATGGAGTAGGAACAATAATATGAGCAAAAGGAGAAGAAATTGTTGGAGTGGAAATGACAACATCTTTAGAACTGCAGATAGAAAGTAAGTGAATCAACAAATGCTAGGTTATAGTAGCAAGCCAAACAAGAAAATACTCCCTCCAATCCTATTTATATTAAAGTCAATAATTTAAGTTAAACTTGATAAGCTAGTCCAAATAAGCCTAAAAAATATTATGGACAAGCTTGCAAATTCAGAAAACTTGCCCAAATAAATCCAAAGAAATCTAAGCCAAGCTCGAACCTGAATGGGCTTAATCTAATTACTCAAATTCTTTTTTATTAATAATAAAATTAAAATAGATAAAATTTGAAAAATATTATTTTTTAAGATAAAAATTGAAACTAACTAAAAAAAATAAAATCATATTTAATAATTTAAGTATTTGGCCAACCCGTGAAAGCATGAAATGCTAAGGCAGGACTTGGTTATATGTTCAGGTATGTTAAGCTCAATCCAAATAGGCCCATCGTGAGTTAGCTCGCCCCATTTGAATTACCAACTCTAATTTATATCGCTTCTAACTTGTTTAATTGAAAGTAAGAAAAATTTTAAAACTTATTAATTTTCTCTAAAAATTTAATAAGTTTTCAACTTTACACTTGTTAATTGTAGGTTTGAAGTCTATTTTTTCTCTTGAACTATACCCTTAAAAGCACCTAATGTCTTATATTCTATTTTAGTCCAATCAAATCCTTAAACTTTTAAAATTGGAGTATCTAATTTTAAAAGTTTAAGGGGTGGATTGAATCAAAGCAAAGTATTGGACATTATGTGCTCCTAAGATATAGTTCAGGGGTAAAAATAAATTTTAACACTTAAATATATATATTTTAATAATATACTTTCTCCCACTAATATTTAACATGGTGACAAGAAAAAAATTTGTAATATAAATTTAATGACATGTCTTATAAATATGACTAGGAAATAAAGAATGATGTTATACTCTCTTTATTCTTATATATAGGGTGTTTATAATTAAATTTTACATTTCAATAAAAATTTGTTATTTGGTTGAAAACTCATAGAATTATGACAATTTTTCAGTTTTACTCCCCATAAATGTTATAACTAATATTATAGTGGCAGGTGAAGTAAACAATTAATATCTCTTCTTTTTTTAAAAATAAAAAAATTATTTAATTATTTAAAAATATTAAAAATAAAATAAATTTTTAAAAAATACTTTATATATAAGAATGGGAGGTGTATTTTAGAAAAAGCACACTACGTACCTACCGTCATCAACAGCAACAGGTTGGTTACGATAAAGCAAAGGAGAGATGAATCTGGTAGCTTTGGAAATTAATAAAGCCAATATGATTAAGAAAGCCTCTGTGAGCATTAAAGCAATGGTTCCATCCATGTGGTTGCAATTTACAGCTTCAACCTTCATAACCTGAAACTAATACGATATATAGAAAGAGCAAACAAAAATTGATGTTTCAGGATATGTAAAAATTAAAATTGATTTATCCCTTAAAGGTGAAACTAAAAAAAAAAAAAAAACAAACCCAAAGGATGCCTTAGAGATGCATGCTTCAATTTGTTAAGAATAGTACATAGCAAAATAATATGCATGAAATTGTTTTCTTAAGCTCTATAAGATATCAGCACTTTTTTTTTAATTATTAGAGCGCTTCAAAAGCCTCTGTATTTAGGGGGAGAGGAATCCCCTCATTTTTTTATGAGAGAATTACAATCAACCCCCTCTTAAGGAAATTAATCACAGATAAAGACCAACAATATGTCCCATTCAAAAAAAATAAATCATGTTCTGCATTTTAATTAATAGCAATCTATTTTGTATTAATCTTTATCTGTGATTAATTCTCTTGAAAGAGGATTGACTGCAATTCTCCATTTTTTTATCATCTTTTTTCCTCTAGTTCTTAATGTTATATTATAGACACACACATATTCATCTAGGTGTTATAGATACACTCTTTCTAGATGAATAAATAATATATGTATATTCTATGTGTATATAAAGTACATAAAAAATGAATTATTCCATGTTTTCTTTTCCTTCTCTACACTCCCAAAAAAATGTTAATATTCATTTAATCAAGCACTGGAAATCTTTAAGAATGCCTTTGGGGTAGATGGATTTACATGGATTTTGTTATACCTACATAGTTAAAGTGAATATTTGAAATTATAATACTCTTAATCCAAATACAACCTAAAGGCTTTGTGATGATTTTGTTTATCAGAAGTTAAAGTATTAAAAATCTCAAATTTCTATTAGATCTACGCCAGTAAGATAGCTAGAGACGATTGAGACTCAACACTAGAAGAAAAAGAAGAAATTAGCAAAAAAATTTGCATAATTCTTTCAGTGCTGAAAACAAAACCTGAAATTTTCTGGGAAAATGCTTGGGAAACCAGAAGATCGATGAATGGGATGAAGCTAGTGGAAGAGAAAAAGAGAAGTGATGGATGGGATGAACCTGGGTGGACTTGGAGATTTGTAGATTTCCGATCCTCTTCACAAAATTTCTTCTTCGAATTAAGAGATCAACTGATAACTCCCACATCTTATCTCTTCATTTTAGTCTTTTACGTACCAAACATGTCCTTGAGGTCGACAGATTAAGTCGTCTCTCGTTGCTTCCGATGTTATTGTCAGAATGTCATTTAAGTCACCCTAGTTGTTGTTTTGGGCATTGTCGTGGTGGAAAAATAAAATAAAAATCAGAATTGGAATGGCCCACATGTTGACACTTGGTAGATTAACATTGATAATGATTTCTTTACCCAAACTTTATAAAAATAGTATTAAAATTTTAAAAATTTACGATTGTCTCACTGCTATGCTTTTTAATTTGTTTTCATGAGTTCCTATGTGCTTTTATTTTTTATTAGTCATAGTTCGTTAACATTTGTTTGCAATATTAGTTTTTATATTGTTAAATAGGACTATCAGTATATAAAACTCATTATTTTTCATACGAATTTATTAAAATTACAATAAGTTATATAAAAATAAATAGAAGGCAAAAGAAAAGAAAAAGAAGCAAGATAATAAATCAAAATTATTAAATGAGTGACGGGCAAAGTTTCAAAAGAAAAAAGACAGATGGCTAGGGCAAAAAAAAAAAATAATTGTCATTTTGCTCCTACAATATTCAATTGATTATAGTTTAACAATTCAACAACAAAATTAACAGTTATTTTCACATTAGTATATTTAACTCTGTCAATGATGACAATGACTAATATTGTAGATGAATGAAACTTAAAAAACTAGAAGGAATTAAAAAAATAACAACTAATTAATACCAAAAGATACTAGGGCAAATAAGTTGTATTTTTTAAAAAAATTATATTTATTTTTAAGGACATAAATTATTTCAAAAGAGCAAGTGTCCTTCTCTGAAACCCCCTCAGGGTGGAGGAACACCCATGAAATTGGTTCAAAAGTCTTCTACTCCCATGTTATCCTCCCTGTTACTATCTTTAGTGCTTAAAATCGATCTCAACCCTTCATTTGAGAGAATAATTAAATAAAATTTTTTCTGATTATTGACATATATGACGGACTGAGATTTTGGACAAGATAATAGTAAAAGAGTGCGACAGACACTTCAGATCCCTTTCTAGCCTTCCTCTACCATTATAGTTAGGAATAAAAGATGGGTTTGATAGGCCGCCAATTTAAACTCATTTTTATAAGAGTTTGGATTTAAGAAAAGGCATTTTTTTAAAAAAATCAAACTTTAAAGCCTAACCTTAATGGGCATTGACAAAATGGGCCTGAGCAATCCTTTTAAATCCTTTTTATGTTAACTCTAAAAAAAGAAGTATTATTATTACTATTTAATTTTCTACAAATCCTCTTTAAAAAACACTCCCTTCAAGCCAACTCTTTCTCCAACATAACCATGCTCATTCAAAGGAAGAAAATGATCTAATAACTCATAGTTTTAAGAAGATTAAAAATGTTAAGAGTAATAGAAATGAGAATTTGCTGTAAGGCCACTGGCCAGTTCTGGGCTCCAAACTGAAGGACCTTCCTCCTCCTCTTGCTCAAACAACCTTTGCTAATAAATTAAAAGGCATTGAGACAAGAGAAGATTCAGATGAAGACAATGAAGATTGTAACTCTGATGCTGACCCTTTTGGAGAAGATGCTCCTAACCCAAATAAGAAGGACTTTATAGTCATAGAATATCCCAAGAAAAATTTCCCGACCTTTGTATTCTCTACTAAGGTTAAAAAAAGACTCTACAAGGCATGGAGAAAAGCAGTGATTGTGAAGTTATTGGGTAGAAGTATTAGGTTTAAGGCACTAGAATCAAGACTTTAATAATTGTGGGCAAACAAAGGTGTCATCAGACTCATTAATATTAGGTATGGGTATTACATGGTTAAGCTCTCTAACAAGGACTATTTCAATGTACTAACTAGTGGACCCAGGATGATTTATGATCACTACTTGATAGTAAGGCCATAGGAAGCTCATTTTCAACCTCAAAAAGCTACCATTGATAAGGTTGTTGTATGGGTTAGAGTTCCATAAGTATTTCTTGAGTACTATGACAACGAAGCTCTTACTTTCATTTGTGATAGAATTAAAAATCACTCAAAGTTGATCTGCACACTGCATGTCAACTGAGAGGACATTTTGCTCGTATTTGTGTTCTTATTGATCTTGAGAAACAATTAATGCTGGGGTTTGATTTAAAAGGTGAAAAATATTATCTAGAATATGAAGGACTACATATGCTTTGTACAAACTGTGGTATCTATGGTCACCAAGTGGATTCATGTACTTTTAAAGAATGCAAACTACCTGACCAAGGTGAAGAATCACAAAGTCACTATCAATGGTATCTCTGATGTCAAAAAATTTTGAACAACAAAATAAGACCATTACGGAGTAGTGGAAAGTAGTACAAAAGTGAGCCAAACAGCATAGAGGTAAGGAGAAGCACTAGGACAGCCAAACCACGATCCTTCTGGGTCACATTTTAGATTTTTAGCTAAAGAAATGGCAGAAGATAATGGAGAAACATGATCTCTGCCCATGCAGAGTGCACAACTTGATCATGAGGGCCCACTACAAAGTGAAAGAATCTAGAAAAAGAAGGGTAGTAATGCTAATATTGCCAAGAATGTTTATGATGATATAAACCTGGATGTTATTGCTGTGGGGATAGTAATGGTGGTGCAAATGACTAAAGAACTATGAGAACATAACAACAAGGTATAGAAGGAGACAATAAAGAGAAAAATCGAGAAAAGAATGAGAGATATGATTGGAGATTATATTAAGAGTAATGAGGTGCTAAACACCAATGAGGAGGGTATTGGTGTAATGACTTAGATAAATAAAATAAAAATAAACACATAATAATTTGTTTAGAGTGTATTTTATTTATGTTTGGAATAATTTTGACAACAATGGGTGTTGGCATAGTGGAAGTGCATGTATAAGTCATCCACTTGGTCCAGAGTTCGAATCTGCTGAAACAAAAAAGGAGTTGATTTTTATGACTTTAGTTTTTCAAAATTACCAATATACCCCTCCCATATCAGATTTATTTTTTCTTTCTTCTCTTCCTTATTTCCATCTCGGTTTGACGGAGGGGGAGGGAGAGAATGTTCTGGAACTCGTGCGATCTGGTCTCCGTTCCTCTGCCATCTCCGATTTCTTCTCTTCTTCCTTCACTCTTTGCCATCGCTGATGAGAGAGCTGAGATGCTGTGCGTTTTCTGTTGCTGGTCCACTGTTTTCCAACCCATGTCTGCTTTGTTTCTTGTTCTTGACCATATTTCTTCCCCCACTCTTCTGTTAGTTGATGATGAAGCAAGTAAATAGCTGATTTGAGGTTGTAAGAGAACTAATTTAGTGGGTTGGAGGTTGGAATTGTGCTATCTTCTTCTTCCCCTGTTCAGTCGTAGGTTCTGTTCTGTGCTTCCCTGTGCGTTTGTGATTGACTGCCTAAGGTGAGAAACTTCACTCTCTTTCTATTGCTATGTGCGTGTAGTGTTGGATGGGAACGGTGAAGTAAACTGGAAAAAAAAAACAGAGAGGAAAGAGAAAAGAAATCTTCTGCCAGCCGTGAATGATGCAGATTTCTTGTTCTTCTTTTCTTTCATTGTTGTCGGTTGCTGAGTTGAAATCTTCGAACCCCTTAATTTTTCGGTTAGCCGTAGGGAGTGTTGAGCTGTATAGTGTTTTGGTCCTCATCATTTTTTCAAAGTCGGCTCTGTCTTACTTCCTTCTTATACTATGATTTTGTTGGCTGTGGGTGCAAGGTGGTGATGGAGACTCATGTTTAGATAAGTTTCATATTGTATCTCTTCTTCCTCTAGCTTTTGGCGTGCTCATCCTTGAAAGGGTATGAGATCTGAACTTTGGTTTCTTTCTTTCTGCTATTTGGCCGAGAGTTTAGGGAATGTGGATGAGATTGATAAAATAAAATCAATTATTTTCCTATTGTTAGGTGCTGATTGGAAATGTGAATTGAGAATTTTAATTATTCTAGGCTTGGAGATGGAAATTTGCTTGAAAGAAATACCTAAAATTTATTTATTTAGACATGAGAAAAAATTTTAAATGAATGAGTTGTGGTGTATGGTGCTGTTATAATGCATTTTCTTGATGGTGTTGGTTGGTTTCAAGGCTAAATGGAATACTATTGTATAGATTGATACAATGTCATTATGAGAATTATTTGTGGGTGCTTCCAAGATGTTGTGTAAATGATTACAATAAGAATAATGTGTTTGGAATGGCTGGTGTTGAAGTAATTGTTAGAATGAAAGTGGAAGAGAAGAGCTTAAATGGGACACTTGGAGATTAGTGCTTATGAGATGTTTATTAAAATGTTTGTTAGGAGAATTGAACTTGATTTTGAAATTTCATTGATTCTTGTAGAAAGTAGAGTTAGCTTAGATGTTGTTAATCTATAAATTTGACTTGAAAGTTGCAAAGGATATTTGATTATGAAATTAATAATATGTGCTTACTAGAGTGCTTGGAAATCGATAGTTTGTTGAGAAAATATTTAAATGCTAGAGTTTTTTTTTATTTCTTTTTATGAGGGGATTGAAAAGGATGTATTTATTATCTTGACAAATTGCTAATGATGAATATCTTTTAAACAAAGCTTTGGTTTTCATGTTTCAAATGTATTATAGTAGATTATCGATTAGACGGTTGAAATGGAATTAATGTACTGGCTGAGAGTTGAATAAAGTTTTAATATGATTTATAAGGTGTTTGGAAGAGAAGAAGTTTGATTAAAGTTGAGAGGAGAAATTTGACTTCTGGAGAAATTTCAAGTAAGTGGATAGCGTCCCAACTGATTTTTTTTAATCAAAATTTCTTTTACTAGAATATTACGTTTTTCTGGAAATCATTTTAATAGCATTAATGCAATTATTGGATATTTGTTGATTAACTTTACTTTATTTTGAGAAATTAGCTTTATCAAATTTAAAATGTTATTTGATCAATTAAATTAAGTTTGAACTTTGATTATGAGATTTTTATTTTATCAAATATTAGAGTGATATAGAGAATGATTCATGCGAGTTCGACTTTGAAATTTTGATTATTCAATAAATGCAAGCATGAGTATTGGATATGAAATTTTATTCTGGCAAGTTTTTAATGCTTAAAAATGTTCATGCAAGTTTGATTTTGAGAATGAGAACTGTATCTTGAAAGTGAGGATTTTCTCGCATGTTTGAAAATGGTTTTAAAAAGGGACTTTATACGGAACACTGGTTGTTAACGGCAGTTCTGTTAGCCCTTGGCGCGCCATGGTACACCTAGCTAGCAGGGTGTTTATAGGAGGTGCTAGCCTCGTGCGATGGCCAACGCACGTGGAATGAAGGGATGGTTATTCGTGAGCGTCATACTCACGTTTATTTCGTGGCTTCAAGCCGCGTTTGATTAGCGTTACCCTCGTGGACTGTGTGTCCACGTTTGTTTTGTGGCTTTGGCCGCGTTTGGTTACTTACCCTCGTGGACTGAGTGTCCACATTTGTTTTCGTGGCATAAGCCGCGTTTGGTTAGTTACCCTCATGGATTATGTGTCCACGTTTGTTAATTGTTCTGATAAGTCCCTATATTTATGAATCCAATCGTTTGATAATTTCATATTCTATTGGTTTTTATTTAGTAATTTGTTTATAAATATTTATTTCATTTATATGCTTTCTTGAAATCAAGTGATAATATCATTTTCTATGATAGTTTAATGATTTGAGATTTTATTTGAAATTTATAGAGCCATTTTATTATGAAGTTTATAAAATTTTTATGAAAATTTTGTCTATTTAACTTACATAACTATTTCAAACTTTTCATTTTATTTATGTTCTATTATTTATTGTTGGGACGTTATTCACTGGAAAAGATATTTTGGTCTCAGATGGTATAGTTGAACTCGTGACCCGAGATATCCACTTAGGAGTTTTATTGTTGAATTGAAGCAGAAGAATTATTTCAGTCAAATCCTAATTTGATGAAAAATTTGAACTTTATACTTATGTTGGCGTCTGGCCTCAGGTGCTCCACATAGACTACAGGTAGGATCCTTATATTTCTTTTAAAGTTGAATATCTGAATTAATATTGTAACAATTTCTAATTACTCTATTAGTGTGTTTAATGTATTAATTTCAAAGTTTCTCCGATCAAGGCTTAAGGGATATGAATTTTGTGCCCATATCCTGTGCCGGTCACACCTGATTTTTGGGGCGTGACAATTGGAGATAAATCTAATCAGGTCAATGATGATATGATCATAACTAACGATGATCGAAGAGGATATTCCCCTGATGCTATAATAGAGTCGGCTTTTATAACCTCCCAAAAGTTAAACTGCAAATTACTCCAAATCATAGTAATCCAGGGTTTTATCCTCAAAGGATTACCAAATTGTAAAGTTTTATAAAAGAAATTTTTCAAAATTCTTTTAAAGGAATCCCAATCTTAACAAATTAAATCTCAAATATGATTTAAGAACTCCAAATCAGAGTTTTAAAAACAAAACAGAAGCTTGAAAATCAATTAGGACTTAAATAGTAAGTTTTAAAACTCAAAAACAAATTTTGTGCAGAAAGTGACTTATGCATCGCAGCATGTTTTGTTTATACCATACGCTGCGGTATGAGGTGCCATGCACTGTGGCACATTGCACGAAATTTAACAGTATTAGTTCACCGGATGCATACTTGTGATGCGTCCTAAATTTCAGTCTAACGTCCAATTGAGGTGGTTTTGGTGTCTACACAGAGCTTTCTCCTAACTCTAGCTAATGGCACTAATTTCACACTCAAACTCATTTTGTATAAAAAGTTGGATACCAAAATTTATTTTGACTACTTTTTCACAAAATCTCACAGATGAGGTGTTTCAACTCAACCACACGTGCCAATAGCTTACACTAACCATCCGACCACACTTAATAGACTCTCATGAACTTGTGCAATGTACCACAAACAATTGAAAACACTTATACCATAAAATCACCACTCAACCCCGATTTTCACAAAACATAAAGGGGAAAAATGTTGCACAAAATCAACAATTTCATTCTAAATTTTTTAAAATACATATGTTTCTACTTGCACAAGTATTTTGGCCCTATCTATGGGTTCACAACACAAAACTCACTAACTCAGGGCACAAAATACATTAGTTATACACAAAATCATACAAATAGTGCATAAAGTATGTTAAATAATTCTAGTTGGCAATTACATTAACAAATACACGCGATAATACCAAAAGAGAGGCATATAGAGGATTACTTTACAAATCCTAAGCCTCTGTATGTTTTTCTTGATTGGGATCCAATGAGCTAGGTCCTGAAAATATTGAGAATTGAGAGACGAGTATAACTACTCAGTAACCAGGTTTCACTTAATCCATACAGTTACATATCAATTGTAAATAGATATAATTAGGCAAATAAGCACATATATCACATAACATTCAGCCACAGTTCACAAAACTAACAATTATGTGACTGGGCTTGCTACAAAATACTTTATCATGTTATTTACCAAAAACATAACACAAGGTCACATAAATAATATCCATGCGCCCTCAACACATGTCAGACCACAAAACTAACAACTATATGACCGGACTTTTATGTGTAATTATATGCGAATCTTATATCTTCCTGTTACCTCTGACATAAAACTGATGGCTATCACGTGGCTATGTCCTTCATAGACTAACTCAGCCTTTTACTTGTGAGGAACTACCGGGCTAGGGTGAACTTACTCATTTATGTAATCCGGCTTCTCCCAATACTAACAACCATAGGGTGTCATACCCCTAATCTAGTCTCCTTATGAATTGGTGAAGACTAATTAGGTTCGAGTCCCTCATAGAACAAGTAGGATGATCTCGAATCAACCATAGGGCACAGGCTACCTCTTAATTCTAACAGTTGGTACCAAGGCTAGTTTTTGATTCCAACAGTTGCTATCGATACCGCATAAATTTCAATCAATCTACTCCTCTCCTTAGGCGAACTCCCGCCAATGATCATGCTATGTACATTTCTCACATAATATGCATTTTCACAATTAATTCATAATACATGAACTCACATAACTCAAATACTCCACAATTCAACACATAATTCATCACAATTCTCTACCCATAGTAATAAATCACAATTAATTTCATAAAACACTAAGGGTGGTAAAAGCAAATTTTTTTTTTCCAAAAACCATTTCACAAATCAAACACTTTACCAATATGCATCATTAATTTAGCTCATAATTTATATTTCACAAATACAATTAACATTCAACTATAAAGATTAAGTTTCCCCCGGCTACCTCAAACCTTTAAGAGGTCAAAGGTTTACCCCTCACTATACCAACTTTCTAAAGCTTCAACAAGCTCAAATGGTGCTAAAAATGAACCTCTCTACATCCATACCACAAGAATATCATCATTGTTTAACTCTTGAAGCTTTATCAACATAAAAACTCCACACACTCTATTTTTATCAACTCATAATCACTACCCATTCATACCCAATGGGCTCATAAAATTTTATCAATGCACCTTATCATTAATAACATCTCAAACCATCATTAATGCACATAAACGTCTCTCAACTACCTCTTAAATATTAATTTTCAGATAATAAATGCTCCTATAGGCCAACCACTTCTAAAATTATCAATGTGGTGTTCCAATACATTAAACAACTCCCATTATACTTACTTTAACCAATAGAATTGGACCCATACTCTTATGGATCGAAAATCCATCTTCTAACTCAAATTCTATCATAAATCATCATAAATGAGGGAAAAAAAGAAAGAATGAGGCTTAGTTTACCTACCTTGAGTATTTGGGAACTTCAAAATGTCAACAATGGAGTGTGCCCTAGCAGAGCCTAATGTTCTCTTCTTTTTCTTCTTCTCCTTCTCTTTTATTTTCTCGCACAGACGTGATCTGATTTATTAGAAATTTTTCCCGTGTGCCACAGTGCATGGCATAGAGGAGCCTGTTGTATTTAAATTTGTCTCCGTGTATCGTGACAGACCAACCTTGCACTGCGGCGTGTGGCACAGAGAATAATGCTTCAACTTTCTTCCTCTTTACTTGCCTGGGTGGCTTGCCATCAATCCGGACCCACTTCTAAGGCTAAAATCATAACAATTATACTAAGTTAAGCTCCTCTGGCCACACACCTCATTAACTCACTAATTACCCTCATTAGGCTAATAAACCAAGATTAAAATTTTCTAAATATTACAGCATTCCACATAATCCAGGAGAAAATATCCAAATTATGGACCTTAGTGACATTGATAATGGGCTGAGTTCAATAAGCCTAATTTTAACTAGTGGACATTTGTGTGAATCTTTTATGCCAGAAACCTAATTATCCTCTGGACTTTAAGATCTTAGGCCTTGTGTTTCCTTCCCTTATTTATTTATTTATTTATCAAATATGAATAATATTTTCTACTAGAATACTAGGGGCTTATGTGGTAATGGGCTCCATAGAAATCTTATTACTATGTTGGGCTCTCTTAGGCCTAGTCTTCTAGTGCTTTCAAATACTAGAACTAATAATGAATCTCACCTAAGAGAACTCAGAATGATGGGGTATGATTCTCTCAAATTAATTCCTAACGTAGGTTGATCGGAAGGTATAGTTATAGCATGGGATACTGGAAGAATTTAGGTCACCATTTTGAATGAAGATCGTCAATTTATTCATTTATCCTGTAAGTTCGATGGCTTATCCTATTTGGTGTCTTCTCCTTGGCTTGTTTTTTGTGATTTCAATAACATAGCCTCTTATATAGAGTGTATTGGAGGAAGACCTAGTAATACAGATCGAATCACTTGGTTTCAAGATAGAATAAATGATTGTTGTCTCCTAGATCTAGGCTATTCTAGATCAAAGTTTACTTGGAAGGGACCTAAATCAGCTGGTTGTTCTTAGCTCTTTGAACGTTTGGATTGTGCTGTGGCCAATTCTTCTTTCTTGTCTTCCTTTCCTGAATGTATTGTAAAGGTAATGCCTAAAACTGCCTTCTTTGACCATAATCCTTTATCCATCAATTTACTTATCTGGCCAAAAGATAGTAGGATAGATAAACCCTTTCGTTTTAAAGCAATGTGGTTGTCCTATAAAAATTTTAAAGACTTTCTAAAAACTACTTGGTGCTTGTTTGATGGGTTAGAAGAGAACTTACATATTTTTAGAAAGTCTGTTCAAAGTTGGAATAAAGAGGTGTTTGGCATGGTCGAGAAAAGGAAAAAGAATATTATTGCTAGACTTAATGGTATCCAGAACTCCCCTGCTTATCCATACTCTAGATTTCTTTGCGAACTTGAGCTATTTTTACAAAAGAAGCTGGATGAAACTTTGAAGATGGAAGAGGCTAAATGGTTCCAAAACGCTCGCACTGAATGGATTAATAGTGGGGATCGCAATACTAGATATTATCACCTAAAAACTACTATGAGAAGAAGGAAGAATAAGGTACTAGCTTTGAAAAATGAAGCAGGAAGGTTGGTGGAAGATGAAAAAGAACTTCAAGACCTAATTTCTCAATACTTTAAACATCCTTTTCTTAATGATGATTCTAGTAAGGCCAATTTGAGAACTAAGGTTTCTTTTCCTGCCTTAGATAACTCCATTTCTAACAGACTAGCAGAGATTCCCTCTAAAGAGGAAATTAGAAAAGCTATTTTTTCTATCGGACCTTATAAAGCTTCAGGATTTGATGGATTTGCTCCTATATTTTTTCAATCTAATTGGGAAACTATTAGAGAGGCTATGTGCAAATTTGTTACTGAAGTTTTTCAAAGAAAGTTAAAGCTAATAGAAGCAAACAAAACACTTATATCTCTTATCCTTAAAAGAGATAAGTCAAATCTTTTGAGCCATTTTAGGCCTATTTCTTTATGCTCTGTCCATTATAAGTATATAACCAAGATTATTACCCACAGATTGAAAAGCTGTATGGACAACCTAATTTCACCTTTCCAAGCCAATTTTATTTCGGGCAAACATATTCAAGATAATATAATTATAGGCCAGGAAATTATGCACTTCATGAGGAAATCTAGAAGGAAACAAGGCTTCTTTGTGATGAAGATTGATCTTGAAAAAAATTATGATAGCATCAAGTAGGATTTCCTACAACATGTTCTTGTAGAGGCTGGTATGAATTTTAATTTTATCCATCTAATTATGAATTGTATAACCACAATTTCATGTAATGTGTTATTTAATAGGGTTCAATCTGAATTTTTCTCCCATCAAAGAGGTCTCCACCAAGGAGATCCGATCTCACCTTTTTTATTTGTGCTTTGTATGGATAAACTTTCATACTTATTAGTGATGCTATTGATTGTGGTCATTAGTTGCCTATAGATATCACAAAGTAAGGGCCCTCTATTTCACATCTAATGTTTATAGATGGTCTTCTCCTTTTTGGTGAAGCTTCAAAAAATCAAGTCAATGTAATGATGCAATATCTTAAGGATTTTTGCACAGCTTCAAGGGCAAAAGTCAATAAAGCAAAGTCCTCACTCTTCTTTTCTAGAAATGTTAAGTAGATTTGAGAGGAAATATTAAAAGAATAGCTGGAATGCAAAATTTCTACTGATATAGGAAAATACCTTAGTTTTCCAATATCAAAAGAAAGATGTTCTACTCAAAAGTTCCAATATATAGTTGATAGAGTTAGATCTAAACTTGCTGGTTGGAAATCTAATTGTCTACCGACTACTGGAAGAGCAATCTTAGCCAAGTCTATGTTAAGTGTTATCCCTTTGTACCCAATGCAAGTCTCTAAAATGCCAACCAAGATTTGTAATGAGATTGAGAAACTCTAGCGAAAATTTATTTAGGGAAGTAACAATTCACAGGGGTTTCATCCTCTTAGTTGGAAAAGAGTAATGCAACCTAAGGCCTTTGGGGGCCTTAGATTCAAGAAGCTCTTTTCGATAAACAAAGCTTGTGGTACAAAGTTGGCGTGGAAACTTGTATTAGGCGGTAAAGGTTTATGGGCTAATTTATTAAAGAAAAAAATACATTTACCAATCAAAGGAAGATCTTTTCAATGTAAAAGAAGGAGATTCGCAGCTCTGGAAGTTTATATGCCAATAAAAGAATTTAGTAAAGGAGGGCATAAGATGGCAGATCAAAAAAAGGTGAAGCTATTAAATTTTTTTGTGAAGATTTCTGGTTATTTCCTGATAAAAAAAATCATGGATATGATTTTAAGGCCCCTGACTGTAGAGGAAAGGAAATTAGGAGTAGTTGATTGGACTCGTTTTGGTGCGTGGGATTTTAGTAGGCTATCGCTTATTGTTCCCAATAAGGTTCTCTCTAAGCTTATTTCTACTATGCCTCCCTCTTCTACTGTTGGTTATGATGCCATGGTTTGGAAAGGGAATGCTAGTAGTATTTTGACGTTAAAAAGTTCTTACTTTATGATTGAAGATCTATCTTCAGACTGGTATGATCCTTTGCTTAAGAGGATTTGAAAATGGAAAGGAGCTGAAAGGATCTATCTATTCCTTTGGCTTACTTTTCATAATAGATTACCACTAATGCATAAAGAAGCTCATGGACTAATTGTTCATCTCTTTGCTTTTGGTGTAATACTGAAGTAGAAGATGTACTACATATTCTCCATGATTGTTGTTATGCTCGATTGGTTTGGTATAAACTTGTGCCAAGTGGGTACCATAATCTTTTCTTTTCTACTCCTTTAAGTGATTAGATGGCCTGGAATCTTAATTTTGTTGGACATTCTGGTCTTCTATCTAATTGGGATTTATTTTAGGGAGTAGCTATTTGGAAATTGTGTAAATGGAGTAATAATTTCATGTTTCAACAAAGCTTTCTTAAACCTCCTGATCCTACTATTGTTCTATTAAATTCTTAGAAATCCTATATTTTCAAAAATGAAGCTAATTTACATACAAGGGATTTTAGTGAATCTTAGGTACAAACTTGGCAACCTCCCCCTAGGAATTGGGTTAAAATCAATGTTGATGGTGCTGTCTCCTCTTTCAAATTTTGAAAACAGTATAATGCTACCCTTACTATTAACAAAAGTTGATTTTGATTATTGGTTGATCTTAAAATAAAATAAAAGAGTATAGAAAATAATGAAGAAAATTAGAGACATGGATCCAAAAAATTACAGAAAATAATTTCTTTAATTCTTTTATATCATTGTTTGTCATCTTTTCAAAAATTGACAGTTAAAATTAAAATTTTATCAATAGTAATGACAACATTGTACCATTTTAAAAATTAAAGGAGAACATTACACAAAAAATAAATTTAAGATCATCGACATTCTTGAACCTATAATTTAAGAGTCAAATTGTCAAATTAGATTTTTTGGTAATTATACATGGAATCAATTAAAATTATGACTCGGATCTATTTGTTTTTATCAACACTACAAACAGACAACAAACAACTGAAACAGCTATAAAGCAAGAGCTAAAAAACAAGCCAACAATATGCAACTAGTGGAATTAAGAACCAGCCAAATGTGGACACAGAAGTGTTGACGATCTTAGTTACCAACAAAAAAAGTAATTGACAATCTTAATCTTAATAATAACTCGCCTGTGTGTGTGTTACGCACCTCTCAAAAGTTTATAGTGTCTATTCTATCTTTATAAGTTTGTCAAACTCACAAATTTAAGCAAATTTATAAAGATAGAATGAATTTATAATGTACAACAACAACGACGGCGGCGGTTTATAGTGTCTATTCTATCTTTATAAGTTTGTCAAACTCACAAATTTAAGCAAATTTATAAAGATAGAATGAATTTATATCCCACTAGGTGGGGTCGACTACATGGATTGCAAGTTGCCATTGTGCTCTATCATTTATCAAGCTTTTAGGAATATTATTAATTAAGAGATCGCGCTCAACAACTTTCAAGAGTGTTCTCTTAGGCCTTCCTCTACCTCTCTTAATCGGACTCAAAGTTATATGTTCCACTCTTCTCACTGGTGCCTCCCTTGGTCTTCTTTGTACATGCCCAAACCATCTCAACCAATTTTCTACCATTTTTTCCTCAATAGGTGCCACCCTCACTTTTTCGCGTACGTGCTCATTTCGAATTTTATCTTTACGTGTATGTCCGCACATCCATCGTAACATTCTCATCTCTGCTACTCCAACTCTATGCTCTTGCTGTCCCGTTAGAGCTCAGCATTCACTACTATATAGCATTGCCGGTCTGATAGCAGTGCGATAAAACTTTCCTTTAAGTTTATTAGGCACCTTACGGTCGTAAATAACTCCTTTAGCTTTTCTCCAATTAAACCACCCAACTTGAATTCTGTGTGAAATATCTCCACTGATTTCGCCATCATTTTGAATAATAGCTCCCAAATATCTAAACTTCTCCACTTGAGGTATAATTTAATCTCTCAATTTCACTTCCAAATTATTATCGAATAGTCCTTTACCAAATTTACAATATAAATATTCCGTCTTACTTCTACTCAGACGAAAACCTTTCGACTCCAATGTCCTCCTCCATAACTCAAGTTTGCAATTAACCTCTTCTCTTGTCTCTGCTATAAGAACTATATCATCCGTGAAGAGCATACATTTTGAGATTTCCTCTTGAATATGTTCCATTAAAACATTTAAAATCAAGTTGAATAAATAAGGACTCAGAGATGATCCCTGATGTAGTCCAATCTTTATAGGAAAATTCTTTGTTTGACCACTAGGTGTTCTTATACTAGTTTTTTACCCCCTCATACATATCTTATATGGCTTTAATATAAGCAATCCGTACTCCCTTTTTTTCCAACACTTTCCAAAGCACTTCTCTTAGTATACGGTCATCAGCTTTTTTCAAATCAATAAAAATCATGTATAGATCTTTATCTTTACAATGATACTTTTCCATTAATCCTTTAGTAGAGAAATCGCCTCTGTAGTTGATCTACCTGGCATAAAACTAAATTGATTCTCAGAAATACTTGTCTCCAATCTCAACCTGTGCTCAATTACTTTCTCCCACAATTTCATTGTGTAGCTCATGAGTTTAATCCCTAAAATTTTGTTAAGGAAATATAAATTTTTGTCCTTGAAATTTTTCTCTCTCTAAAATTTGATTCAAAAATACCAAGTTCTTACTAGAGTTTTTTTAATTAAAATAACTCAATCTTTATAATTTTTTAATATAACTCAATTTTTATAATTCTTTAACTTAATAAACTGTAAGAACTGAGTTATAATAAATCAGAGTTGAAAGACTGAATCAATAAATTTGAGAAAAAATTTAGATTTAAAGTTATATGATCCTTTTAAATAACAATGTTTAAAATATTACTCCATGATACTTCCTCTCCATGATACTTCCTCTAGTATAATTAAATACTTCTCAATCTTCATAATAAGAGGATTAAAGGCAAAAATACAAAGACTATGTCTTTTTTTTTTATATTAGTAAGAAAATAATTACTTTATTGATATGTCAAATATGATTGGAACTTAAAGTGTGTTAGAATTTAGAGTGAAGTAAAGATTGCATCAAAAATATCAAACTCCAATGCTGATAAATTCAAGTGTCCAATCGTCTTAAAGAATGAACCCGATGTGTTCATTTAATTTATATTGCTTAAATTACAAATTAAACATAATTCGGATATAGTAATAACTTTACTTAACGCAATAAACGTTACCCAAAATAAAAATCTGAGCTTAACTATTCCATCTCCGTTGCGAACAAGGAGGATGATTAACTTTTGAGTTTTGAGGGATTCAATCGAAATGAATATCTACATACGTTGATGCTAAAGAAACTAAGAGGGAGAAGGAATGCCTAATTCCTACAGATAAATCTGCGTACATATCAAAAAGCAATATATACAGCAGATGATTCAGTCAGATAAATAGGAAAAAAGAAGTGGAAATTGCAGATCTAGAACACCAAATCAAAGCTCAGTTTTGTAACGGCACTCTTTTTGGCCAATGGTTTTGGTGGAAACATTGATCGCAAAATCACATGACGAAGTAGAAACCACATGAACATTAATAAACCCCAGGATGCTTACTTTTCCAGAAGTCGTAATCCAAGTGCTGAGAGGCAACGAACCGGAGATATAATCCTTGAAAAACTGCGAATTAGAGAGGAGGCGGTTCGCCATGATGGTGAGACTGACTTTGATGAACTCGGTCTCCCCTGCTTTGATTTCGCCTGCGGGAATAGGAGCTTCTCCGACGAGCTGGCCTCTGTAATTGAGCAGAGCGTTGGAGTCGGAGTACTTGAATCCGACGTGATTGGGGTTATTGATGGAGGCTTCGATGCCGAGGGTGATGTTTAGATCGACGACGAGCTGGGCCACATTGAGGCCGACGTGCATCTCCTGAATCGTAATGGAATCGATGGTGTCGACGGGACGCCTGGGTTTGAACACCGTGAATGCTAGAATCACTATGATTAGGACGATCGCGATCACCACACCCGCCGTGACGGCGAGACAGAGGTTCCGTTTGCGAGATTCTGCCTTCATTCTCCAAAATTGAAGCTGGAAAATGGAGGCAGATAGAGAGAAGGCAGGCTTGGGATCGCAATCACGAGGGAGAAGGCGAAGAAGGAGATGCGAAGAATGAAGAATCGAATCAAACAGTATAAAGATTTGAGAGAGAAGCTTGAGATTCGCAATAACGGCTTCTCTGGACGCCACCCATCAACCGTATCAGCCTGTAATTATTTATTTTGTTTGTTTGTTTGTTTGTTTTTTTTCTTAAATAGGCTGAGATTAATGATATACCTAACTTCTTGTTTGCAAAAGAAACCATGTATGTACCTAACTTATTCCAGCCCTGTTAATGAGTGAAATATTGCCAAAAAAGGTAGGTATAATTTCACAGTTTTGTTGAAAATTATCCAGTAATAAATGACAAATATGAGGTTTTTACTGTTTTCTTTTGCCAACCTGAGATTTACTAACAGTTTAACATTTTTTTAAACCTGAACCCAGTTTTTTTTTTTTATACAACACCTGAATTACAGTTTGGCATCGTAAAATTTGATTTTTTTTAAAGGAAAAGTATTTTGCTTTTTTTATTGAAATTATGAGAATAAATTTGATTTAAAAAATTTTATAAATTTATAAGACAAATAAATAGAAATCCATATGGTATCTTTCGAAATTTTTTTTACAATGAAACAGCATGTAAATTTTAAAAAACTTAATGTTCAGAAAAAAAAAAATCATTGACTAATGGCTTGAAAATTACAAGAGGCTGATTGCGCTTGAGCTTGTGGCATATTTATCCTCCAATGTGTAAGAATCTCTGTTAACTATCTTAACAAAATTACTGATGTGGTTGGTTCTAGCAGAAGAAGCTAATTCTTCATAACATGAAAAACTAATGTTTGAATCTCTAAGAGAAAAAGTGCCTACATTTAGTGAGTCTTGAATAAGATTGCCTTCAATAAAAAAAATATTTATAAGTAACCAAATTTAAAAAATATCTTAACTAAATTAATAAAAAAATTATTAAATTATTGATATTGATTACAAAATTAGCTTATTTTTATTAAGAATATCATTTTTTAAATATTTTCCTTTTCATGTATAATATTTTATTAAAATATTTTCCTTCTCATACGTACTGTTTTCAATTCAAAGAAATTACTTTAGAAGGAAGAAGTCTTCCTTGTGCATCACAGTTTGACAAGTAAAAAAAATATTTTCTAGAAAAAAATATAAAATGTACCTATCCTTTTTTTTTTCCTTGATATATTTTAATTTTTTGTCTAGAAATTTTTTTTTTTTGGGTATACTTAACATGTATTAATCTTCCTTCTTCTCATGAACCCATGAAAAATTGTAATTCGTCTTCATCACTAGAAAACGGTTCAGTCCTTTTGCAAAGAGCAGCGCTTATACTAAACACAATAATATTGTCGTCTTTTGTGTTAAGGAGCGAAAATTCCATTTGTAATCATACAATTACCAAGCTAATCATGTCTTCTTTCTAAAACTTATTTTTAGAATTTTTTAATACATTCTCTCTTCTCGTGATTGTTAATGCAAAGATAGGAGTATGTTTTGTACTTATAATCACATGTGAGTTGTGATAGGACTTGTTGGACAACTTGTTTTATAAATAGTGTTAAGTTCTTCACAACAAAAAAATAAAAAAAAATTATTTAGTAACATGATTTTAAAATATGTTTTGAATAACAAAAAAAATATTATTCTGAAAAATAAAAAATAAAAATATTTTTAAAGTATTTTAAAATTATTGATCTGAAAAATAAGAGAGAACAAGAAAACACATATTTTTATAATTTTTTGTTCTCAAAAAATATTCTACAGAATACCAATTTTTAAAATAATAAAATAAAAATAATTTTAAATATAACCTATAATTTTTTTGGGTATTCAGAAAATATTAATCTACTGATTGAGAGTATTGGCAGTTTGGAAATTGACACTACTTCAAGTCAAAGTCGTCCTCTAGATCTCTCTAAAACTGAAAAGATCACGAGAGAATCAGAAAACTTTACTTTATCGTTTAATAACATGAAGATAAGACTATACTTATAAATTATAATAATGTGTGGACAAGCGTATTACTACAAAATTAATCTTTATTATTATAACATAGCGTGTTCGCGTGCGGGTTCAAGCGTACAAGATTGATCGTGTTATCTTTTGATCTTTCGTGGATACTAAGGTAATAGAAGAGCCTTTTTCTTTTTTAAGATAAATTTGGGTGAATTCGGCATCAAGAGTTTTTGCTAAAGCCAAAGTATGTGTGTGTTTGGATACGTTTTTAATCTATTTTCTTACTCAAAAAATCAATTATTTGGTTTATTAGCCAAACACTTGAAAAAACAAAAAATTAATTTTAACCATTAAAATTGATTTTTTTTCAAAAGGCTAAGGTTTTGAGCTTTTCCGGAGAGCAAAAAATCGATTTTAACCATTAAGAAATCTTAGCTTTACTCAAAAGCTAAGATTTTGAGCTTTTCAAAAGCTGAGATTTTTTTAAAAAATAAATTTTAACCATTAATTTAATTTAGCATTATGACAAAGATTGTTGCATAAAGGTTTAAAGAGAGAGAAAAATTTTACATCATTTATTACATTACTATATTTTTTATGTTGCCAAAACTTTAAAGTAATGCTTGACATTTTCATCAAATATGGCTTATATCTATCATGTTATTAGAAATTAATTTATATATTATCATCTTTATTAGTTATTGTAAAATTAGTGTTTGGTATTTAAGAATTAAATCTTTCTTTTTTATTAAATTTATTTGAACTAAAATATATTAAGTTATTTATTTACATAAATTAAATTATTAATATTAATATATTTTACTTCTTAAGTAAAATTTAACAAATTTAATAATATTAAATACAAATATATTAATAATTTAAATTTAAAAAGTAATATCCTTTATAGTAATTTATGCAGTTAAAATTAATTTTGAATAAATTATTTAACAATCTTCAATTATTTTAAAATTAATTTTAAAAAAATAATATCCAAATAGATTACATTATAAAATAATTAATTATAATTAAAATTAACTATTTAATTAATTATTTTCATAATCAAATATTCCCAACTGAAATTCAAACGGACCCTACATCTCCAGACTCGATGAATATTTACAGAGGTGCTTATAAATTTCTTATCAATAAGTTCATCATATTATTACTAAAATTTGATCTAAGGATCTTATGAGTTATGGAAAAATTCTTTAATCAACTTTTGTTGATTAAGAATTTAAGGTAATAGAAGAGTCGTGATTGTATATATATTAGTTATCAAAATATTAAGAACCTTTGAGAAGGCCCAACCCAACTAATCTTTTCTTTAGGTTTTATTGACCTAATCCTCTAACCTTTTTCCTCCTCTTTTTTATTCAACTATTCACATGTTTTTATTTTGCCCACTTTCTCATTGGGCTTTTACTCTTTTCACCACCCTATATCTCAGTCATTTATTATTTGAGAAAGATAAACCTTCATTTTTTTTTCCCAAGTTGATCTTTCTTTCTAGTGTATTTAAGTTTGGGCAAGTCAAGTCACAACACTTACCTAGTTCAAGACATGTTTCCGCCCTCAAAGCATCTCATAACCTATATTTAACTTTAAGAACAAGAACATTAATTGGTCCGCTCAAGCTTAATCAATTTTGTTCAACATTCCCAACAAAATCCACATCTTTCTTTATGTTCGCTATCTCTCTTTTCTCTTTATAATTATTTGGATATACTATATATAATAAAAACCAACCTATGACTTTGGGAACATCACAATGAATAAACTTGTACATTACTGACTACCAAATCAAATGAAATTCTCTACATTCATACATTCATGAAGAATGAACAAGTGAACATATATTGGCCAAAAAAAAAAAAACAAGTGATCATATAAAAGAGTATGACTATATAAATGCAAATAAAAAGAAAATCTACATCTATCCTTCATGCCCACTATTGTTTTTTCTCTGGATCTATTCCAATTCACACTACGTGGAGTCACCAAGCTTGCAATTAGCAAAAACCCTAATTAATTAATTGAAAACAACATAATAATTAATGAATAAACTTGTGCATTTGGAGGAACTTTACATCAAACCCCACCTGGGTTTAATTATTTATGTATCAAAGAGGTGGGAGAGAAAGTGAAGTGCAGTGAGATGTGAGTGGTCGTGAAGATAAGAAAAACAGAAGAAACTAATAATAAAGGTTATTCAAGTGGTGGGGCTTTTCCTCTCCAAGGTTTGAGAATCTGAAAGGAACAGAGTAATGTCTCATCAACACACATGAGAGCTCCTGCATTGTTGAATTCTCCACAGTAGTTTGGTGCTGAGAATATGGTCACTAGTTGTCTCTCTGCAAAGAATTCATACCCATCCTCCACCACCTGTCATTTTCACCTTTTTTTTATTTTCATTATATAAAATATAAAAATCATATAGGACTTTGATTATATTAAAATTCATACAAGCATTCTTTAAAGGCAAGAATCGATTACATTGACCTTTTTTATATAAGTTTTGCTAAATCTATATATTTCCTTCCTATTTTTAAGGAAAAATGACAATTGGCTTCCAAAATTTTAAATTAATGACATTCAGGTCTTCAACAAATTTTTTTGAAAAATAAGTTACAAGTATCAATTTAAGTGTAAATTTAGAAGTTTTATTATAAAATATTTGAGTTTCAAATCTAACTATCAAATGATATCTAAGATTCATGTTTATATCCAAGTCGATATTTAAACCTCATTTATTAAAAAATTTTGTTGAAATCCTAACATTATAATTAATTTAATGTTTTGAGGCCTCACTGTTGTTCTTCATATTTTCAAAGCAGACCCCTTGAATTTTATTGAAACCACAGAAATATTGCTTCTATTGCCTAGAGATGACCGGATACATGTTCAAAATGGAAGAGAAGTTAGTGTAATTTTAATAAAATTCAGGGGACATTTGTATATTCTAATTTTGATTTTGAAAACTACATATATATATATATATAGAGAGAGAGGGGGGGGTTTTGAAAAAAAAACTTGAGGAATGTATAATTTTAACAAAAATTATGAAAGTTCTCTATAATTTATTCTCTATCTCAAGAAAAATCTGAAGTTTTAAAAAGCAAAGAAGTTTGTGTAATGCGAACTTTTTTTTTAAACAGTGAATTAGTTTAGTCAGGGGAAAAATAAAAATTTTAGAAAGACATTGTTGATTTCACAAATAAAATAGGGATCTACAAAATTCAACAAATTTCAGGGGACAATTTATTATTAAATGTTTTATTTCAATCTTTCAACCATTTCATCTACAAAGATGAACTATTTATAATGAAAACAAATCCTCTAAAATTAAAATCTATGAATTTCTGTAAAAAAAATATTATTTTTATTTAATTACAAAATACAAAATCTTCACTTTTTTAAAGATTTTCATAAAATTCACGAATTCTCAAATTTTCAGAATATCTACCCTTGTTTATAAGGGTGGCAAGTAACAGCCACCACATCACATAAAATATTAGAGAATAGAGTAAATGGTGTTTGAATTTTATTAGAAGTTAGAACACATCTATTATTAATTAATATATTATTGTTAAATTCACAAATTTAAGTAAACTCAAGATAAGTATATAAATTTGTACCGTAAACTCGTAAGAGTTTACCTTTATTAATAAACAGCCATTAAAATATAATTTTAATTTAATTTAAATATATTAAAAATATAAATAATTAAAATTAAACTCATCTATATTGATAAATTATCATATATAAAACATAAAAATTTTAAAATAGAGGAACTTATTTTTGATATTTTTGATTTTTTTATTAATATTAGTTTTTATATTTTAAGTTTTTTTTCTTTGAATCAGGTCTTATAACTTTTATGAACTGAATTTTTTATAGTATATACTTAATTCGCTAAATTCAAAAAAAAAAAATTTAACGAGTTTAACAAGTTTGATTAAACTTGCATCCGGTTTGAGTTTATAAATTAGTTAATATGATTTTATAAATTAAAAACGTAACAATGATGCAAACTCATAAATTTAACTGAGTTTGTATTTAATCTGAACTTATGAATAAGTTAACACGATTTTATAAACTGTAAAAAATTAAACTCATCAATTAAATTTAAGAGTTTGACAACTATATTTTTATTAATATATAATAAATTAAACAACACAGTTGGTTTAAGTTTCATGTCCTAAATTGGGAAACGTGTATAATTTTTTCAATAAGGTTGCAGAGTATTAATAGCCCATGAACAACGATGAACAGATCTCAGAAGAGAGGAAGACGAAGGAGGTACCTGGTGGGCCCGACATATGAGATCCAGATCATTCTTCTTCAAGAACTCTGCAACCTTATCAGCTCCGAAAGTGAACGACACTCCTCTGTCATTCTCCCCCCAACCTTTGATGTCTCTGTCTGGATCCGCCCAAAGCAGATCGCACAACAATCCCTGATCCGGCACATCCACTGGCCTCTCTATTTCCTTAATCTGATTCATGTTCTCCATGTCCGGCGACAGACCGCCATGCATACACAGGATCTTGTCGTCGATCACCGCCGCGACTGGAAGGCAATTGAAACAATCGGTGAAGATCTTCCAGAGTCGAACGCTGAACCTCCTCTTGCACTCGTCGTAGAATCCGTAGATTCTGTTGATGGAGGCACATTCGTGATTTCCTCGGAGGAGGAAGAAGTTTTCTGGGAATTTGATCTTGTAGGCGAGAAGAAGACATATGGTTTCAATACTCTGTTTTCCTCTGTCCACGTAGTCTCCGAGGAACAGGTAGTTCGATTGCGGCGGAAAACCTCCGTACTCGAACAATCGCAACAGGTCTGGATATTGCCCGTGTATGTCCCCTGAAATTTAACATATAAAACTTTTCACATCATCCATTCACACTTTCATAATCTAACGTAGTAACGTTAAACATATTTACTATCAAAAAAAAGAAAGAAGTACCACAAACATTGATGGGAGCTTCCAACTCAAGAAGGTTAGGTTGGTTGAGGAAGATTTCTTTGGCAGTGACACAAAGGTTGCGAATTTCAGACTCAATTAACTGAATCCCCTTGCCTCTGTTTTTCCTCGCTTCCAAAAGCCTCTCTATCAACCCATCCAATCCTTCCATTCCCTTTATATGAGATATCTAATCTAAGAGATTCTTCTCTTCTGGATCTCAATCAAACCAAGAAAATATGCCTTATTCTTCCCTGTGTTGTATTCTTTCTGTGTTGAAATGCATTACGCAATAGTTAGTTGAGAAGGATCACAAAATGAGGAAGGAAGGAAGAAGAAAGAAAGAGGTTGGTTTAGTGGGGTTTGATGAGATAATACACAAAAGAATAGGAGCAATATGGGATATGGTAAATTTGACTTTGTTTTTTATTCCCGAAGAGTTTTGTGGTCTACTCTTTGCCAACAATTGAACCTAAAATTAGAATGCATGAACTAATCTCGTGCTTATTTAAGACTTGAGAGAATGTGAAACCTGCCCCATTTCTAAATTCGTCTCTGCATATGTTGCATTTGAAAAAAACGAGCAAGTAGATCCTTCTCCAACACTAAAAGAATCCATCTTTCTTAGTGTTAAAAAGAAAGTTAAGCAAGTGAAACTATCCTTTAACTTTATTACTCTACCATACTTGTATATTCTGCAGTTTATAACACAAAAGGTAGATGATGCAGAATATAAGTATCCCAAAAGAATATGAATAATATGGGAGAGTTTAATTTTGCGGGGTGAATTTTGACTCTGTTTTTTTTTTTTTTTTTTAATGCCTCATAAGTTTTGAGGCCTAACATTTGCCAACAATCACCCCTACAATTAGAAATGATGAACAAACTTCGTGCTTGTTTAAGAGAAGGTGAACCCTAATCCATTTTCAAAGATTCATTTTCAACACCAAAATTAACCATATCTTTTAGTGTTAAAAGGAAACATTTTTCTATATTTTTAAAAGATTATCATATTATTTTATTTATCAAAGGACATCTTAACTTTTCAAATTCACCTTGTAATTTGTAAAAATATTTTTAAAAAAATTAATTTGCTAGTACTTATAATTTTACTTGATTTTGAATCAAGCCCTTACAATTTTTTTTATAGAGTCCTTAAAGTAAATGTCCTTTTAAGCTGTTAGTCCTTACACTAAAAATCGTTTTTGGACTTTGTCAGCAGCGTCAATTACAGGAAACGTGGCTTCCAGAGTATTTTCCCACTGTACCGTTCCCTCACCTCTCAACCGCTCCCTCCCTAGACTTCTTCCACTTTGAAAGCCACTAAACAAATATCCCAAAAGTTATTATTTATTATTGATTATTCATTTATTATAATCCTTCAAGTCCAAAGCAGAACAGGAAAAACAGATGTGAACCACACTCTGTTTCATGCTTTACATTTTTTTGCTAACGTGGATAACACTCCCAAGAGACATCACGATGGGTTCTACTTCTCGTATCTTTGAAGCTTCTCTCTTGATCTTATTATCTTTCCCTGGAAACCATCTGTGTATGAATTTTGCAGACAAAGAGAAACAACTAGTAGGAGAGGAGAAGCGTTATATTGTGGGCTTGTCTAATCAATTCACTTGATTTTTTTTTTTTTTGGCAGTTCTATAGATGGAATCTGATAATGACGTGGGAGTGGCAATGAAATAGTACAGACTACAGAGTACAATTTGATCTCCACATTTTCATTATTGAGTTCAGCTTTCGAGACACTGTGTTGCCCAAGTTGTAGGGATTGTTTGATGGCATCTTTAATGACCCTGCAATGCGAAACGAAACAATTATCACAACAAACGATCAAGTCAATTGTTCAAAAACCTCACCTGCTGCGATCTTCCATCTCTCCCTTTGACCACGACTCACTCATGTACAACAAAGAATCACGCCTCACACACGATGAAGAATCACAAATCCTCAATCAAATATAGTCTTAAAAGCACGTTGTATTATTATACACGTTTGTCAAGATCTTCTACTTCCCTATTTGCAGCCAAGGAACCTAAATCCCTTTCCTGGCCTTCAGTCCTCAGATTCAGAAAATAAAGTGGCTCGTTAGCCAAAGCCCATTATTGGATCCAAATCTTGGTGTAGTTGATTGACGCCGTTTCCAAAGTCCAGAGGCGGTTTTGAGTGCGAGGGACTAACGCATTGAATGGACATAATTTGTCTTTGCCAAAAAAAAAAAAAAAAGAATAGACATAACTTAGATTTAATAAAAATGAAAAAAAATTATATAAGGACCTGATTTAAAATCAAGTCAAATTATTACTTATATGGACTGGCAAATTAATTTTTCCAATATTTTAAATTTGAAGTATAAAACTAACATTATTTTATCTTTGGAAGAAACTTACAAAGTGGCTTGTTAAATCAGATTCAGAAAATAAAGTCAGATTGGCAAACTTACAAACTTACAATATTTTAAATCAAGTCAGATTCAGAAAATAAAGTGGCTTGTTAGCCAAAGCCCATTATTGGATCCAAATCTCGCTGTAGTAGATTGACGCCGTTTCCAAAGTCCAGAGACGGTTTTGAGTGCAAGGGACTAACGCATTGAATAGACATAATTTGGCTTTGCCAAAAAAAAAAAAAAAAGAATAGACATAACTTAGATTTAATAAAAATGAAAAAAAAATTATATAAGGACCTGATTTAAAATCAAGTCAAATTATAACTTATATGGACTGGCAAATTGATTTTTTCAATATTTTAAATTTGAAGTATAAAACTAACATTATTTTATCTTTGGAAGAAACTTACATGCTTAGCATTATATACTTAAGGTGCTTATTTTTAAATAAATCAAGACATGTATATCTAGTATAAATTATTTATTCTATAATAAATTATTATTATTATTAATATTTTTAACATATTAAAATTCACATACCAGATCAAAATAAATACATATGTTTTGATTTGATTGAATAAAAATATATTAAACATATAAAAATAAGTATATAAACCTCACCCTTTATCTTTTTACATGACAACTCATAAATAAGATTATTTCTTATTTTTGAAAAACACTGTAAATAAAACTATAGTAAGTTGTTATTGGTAGAGCATACATTTGATCATAAAACTCTTAAACATTATACTATTTCTATATAATTTAAAACACCTTTTTTATAATCTAAAACAATGGAGCTTTCAACTCAATTTGATTATTGAGAAACATAAAGAAAATCATTTGGATCAAAAGTTGACACGTGTCCTGATCTCAACTCACTCGCATGAGTTGAGACGGAATTATTGCTGTTGATGCTCATGATATGGGAAAAGATTGTTTCGCCGCCAATGGGTAACAATTATCAGTTAATTTTTTTTTTTATCAAAACAAATTATCAATACTCCTGCCTTAATTTTGATGCATGTGGTAAAGACCTCGGACCGCATATTATAATAATTGTGCCCCATATAAATCTTGATTTACATTCAGATCAGCTCGAAATTGATGTAACAATAAATATCAAAATCTATAATATGATAATCCAGGAAGATATGGAGAATAGAGATTGTCTTGCATACTAGAGAGCCATGAAAAGTAAACCGACTTGATATATTAGAAACAATAGAAGTTTGACAAAAAGAGCCGCATTCAAAATCGCATTACACAGTGATCCTGGTTCACCAGCCCAGGATAATACAGACAAGAATTTAGGAAAAGAAAACCCACATTGAAGTAGTGGGACAAGAATTGTCAATTATTCAATTAAAGGCTAAAAACTACCTCATTTCTGACCGTAAATTTCAGGTTTGATTACCCCTAGTTGTCAACCACTTCTATGAGAGTTGGTTCATAGTCGCTTGGAGCCTCAAATCCATGGAGATTCATCACAGTAGAGGCAACATTGGCAAGACCACCCTTGGGAAGGTCTTGCCTGAACCTGACACCAGATGACAGACCAGGACCTCCAATTGCAATAGGCACCTGAAACAGCCACAGCAAAGCCACCCAAATTTAGAACACAAGCATTTACCTCAACATCACAAATAAATGCCATTATGCGCTAAGGAAAAATAACGGGTATTGGGGAAGCCTCTGGCATACCTTCAAGTTTAGGCATAAAAATGATGATTATTTTGAACAAACTCTTAAGCTCAGTCAATTTAAATAAAGAATGATTAATTATCTATATTAAATGAACAGCTAAAATTTGACCCAAATCACTCATTTAACTACTTAAAATTGAAGCCTGCCACATCTGCATGCACTATTGTATTGATAAAGACCACTTTGCTAACAGGCCTATAAGCAAAGATGTCAATGTTTCCACATTTTACCAGAGCTATTAATATTAATTAAAAGAACTGGCAGAAACTAGCAAGGTCATCCTTAAGTTGGTGAAGCAAATCACATGGTTAAGGTCCTGCAGGGAAGATTTTTATCTTTGTTACCAGAATTTGTGAATACTTACAGGCTGAAGAGTGTGGGATGTGAGGATTTGGATCTTTCCCTCCTTGTCAAGTAGAGGTTTTCCAGATTTATCCCTCTTCACCATGTCCTCAGCATTTCCATGGTCAGCAGTGACCACATAAATTCCACCAACTTGCTCTATTGCATCAAGGATCATCTGCAATTATCATATGTTGGTCGAATGAGAACGCATCATATCTCTACCTTTTAATTTCATTACTTCTTACAGCAGCCATCAACACACATAAAAAAACATGCAAGAAATGGATTCCTTCCTCAGATGCAGGAAGATGTCCAGCCACTAGTAAAGTTTCCTTTTCCCCTCCATATGGGGGGAAAGTAACGAATAATTATCTGTATCATCACTAATGATAATTAATAATAAACACAACTACAATAACAAAAATCCGGTATTTTGTAATCAATAAAAATTGAGTCACATATAATACAATAAATGTCAAAATAATCAAGGGTGCACATTTTATTGAAGTGAAAATAATGGAAGCAGAACAAATGGAGATACATAATTCACCATCGTTGAAGTTTCCAAAAAAAAAAAAACATAAAACGCAACTGATAAACCTTTTAACACAGCTCAAAAAGGCAAAAAAGCATTGGCTTCATTTATGAATATGATGTCCACTTTCTTGTCCTTTTGTTTTCTCAACAGCTACATTTTTTAACTCTACAACGTAAGGAAGAGATAATAACTTATCTTTAAAATTACACACCTTTTAACATTGGAACACAATTGACATGTGGAGAAATATTAACTGAATAGAAATGAAGTTGCATGAAGTCCCGTGAAAATGCAGAGAATTTTTTTTTTTTTTTTGGGTCTTTTTTCGTTTTTGTCTTAAAGGAGCCATATTGCTTCTGATTTATGAATAATCAACCCTTGCACTGCAGTGAATTCTCAAATTCCATATAGGTCACGAAACACATGATGCACCATGTTACAAAAATGCTCCTGATAAATTTAAAACAAAATGTCCATACCTTCACAGCTTCGTCAGCTGCCTTGCAAGCCACAACTGTTGCTTCAATGTCACCTGTATGCCCCACCATGTCACTATTTGGTAAATTAACACGTACCTATGCAACATATAAAACAAACAGGTAAGTGAAAGCTATTCAAATCAA